TTTTTATACTGCAGTCAAAATGGTCTTTCAAAAATGCAAATCTGATCCCAATACTGCCTTTCTTAAAATCTTTTCAGTGGCTTCTCATTGCCTTTAGAAGGGTTTTCAAAGACTGCCATCTAGCCCACATCTTCCATGTCATTTTTCAACATTGTTTTTAGCCTTGCATGTGCCAGTCATGCTGAATTTCTCTGTTTCTCACATGGACATGGTCGTCTTACCTCTGAGGCTTTACCCTTGCTACTCTTTTTGCCTCTTAGGCAAGTATCCTCTCTTCTTTCTGCTTCCCTCCTCTCCCCAAGCCAAACAGTCTAACTTATACTTCAGGTCTCTCCCTACATGTCCTTCAGACATTTTACTCTGCTATTTCCATTGCACCCTGTACTTGTTTTGTTATTCATCACAATTATTTGTCTTCCCAGCTTGAAGATGAAGGGAGGTTTCATAGCTATGTTTTTCATCGTTTATGTTCACAGTACTTAGCTCATTTTTTTGGCACTCTGTGAGTCTTTAATAAATGTTTATTGATTGAATGAATTTGTCCTTCATTGCTGATTCTTTCCCCTGCCTTCCATTGTCTTAACTAGCCTTAACCGCTGCTTCTACCACCACACAAAACTAGGTTATTTATTTCCAGTCAGTCTACTTTCTTACTCCTGAGTCACTCCTTTTGTCTCTGCATTTTGCTTTTACTCCTAACAATTCACTCATTTTTGAGGTCACCAAATGTGGTGGCTTTTCTTTCTCCTTGATTCCCAGTATTTAACAGTATTATCTGCCTTTTCTGTTTTCAGACTCTTCTCTTGGATTTCATGATGGTGGATTTCCTATATAATCTTAGCTTCAATTGTCACTTTTGTACAGTGGCCAAATTTGTATTTCAGCCTTAATCTTTTCTACCACTATTTAATTCTACATTTCTAGTTGCCTGCTATAATATTTCTTGTAGGATATTGTACTACCACTTCAGATTCAGAATGCCTAAGCAGGGTTTTAGGCACAGTACAGCCTTTAGGGAAACTGGAACTTGATTTGGATAAACTCCAGTTCTGTCCTACTTTTGTGTCTCTTCTCGTGTTTTTAGTAGCAAAAATGCAAAACTTTTACACTTTTGTTTGCCTTCTCTTGGTATAATTGTTTTCCTAACCGATCTTGGTGGCCTACATACTTTTCTCTAAATTCCCTGACTTCACATATCACATTGATATTCTAGTAATTCTGATACATTTCTCTCTACTGTGAATTTCCTTTGTGGTCAGTCCATCTGTGCAGCATCTCCTAACTTTTACATGTCTTCCTGATTTGATGCTCTATAAAAAAAATGCCATTTATGACATTTTTTAGTTGGTCTTCGTTTTCTTATTTTATAATGCATTTCACAATATAATACTAAAAAGAATAGTATGAATTTTTATTATGATAATGCAGTTCTTCCAGTGTATTCTTCTAAAAGTGAGATCATCTTTAGCAGATTTAGTTGCTAAAGCCAGAAGCAATGTCTTTCAATCATCATATTAACTTTATTCTGCTGTCTTCCACTGCAGTCTTTCCTCCCCCTAACATGCAACTGTTTTCTGGTATTTTTTAATAGCATATTTCAAACATGCAGAACAGTATAAAAACAGTATTAAATACCTGCTGACCAGAAAGTTCAGTCAAATCATGTCATTTTCCCAAACCTGCTGTAGTTATTTTTGAGGGACTAAAACACTACAGAAACAATTAAAGTCACCAGTTGTCTTCCTCCAAGATAAGCATTGTCTTAAATTTATTGTCATCCCCATGCATGGGTTTTTTTTTTTAATTGAAGTTAATTTGCATATAATGTGCTCAGATCGTAAGGGTATTATTACTCCATCAGTTTTGACAAATGCGTAATAATCCACACTTCATCATGAAACAGGACACTTATTACTCTAGAAAGTTTGCTTATTTCCCTTCCCAGTAAAGACTTTATATCATAGAAATCCTAGAGTATGTCCTTTTTTACTTGAAATCTGGTTTCTTTGACTCAGCATATTTTTTATATTCCTCCATGTAGTTATAGTAACCTGTAGCCTGTTCTTTCACTGCTGAGTAGTAGTTCATCTTGTCTATTCATTTTCCAGTTCATGAACAGCTAAGCCATTTAAGAAACTCCAAACAATCTTTTAAAGTTGTTTTTGCCATTTTGTGTTCTCACCAACAATATATGAGAGTTCTGCTTGCTCCACATCTTTAACTTTTAGTGTTGTCAGTCTTTTTAATTTTATTCCTCCTAGTGGGTGTAGTTTATCTGCCTTATTTTCAAATTTGTTTATTCCATTTTCTCTGATACTTTAGGATAGGATCTGTCTGTGTATCTGTATATTCACTGCATTCATCCTATGATCTTGCACATAGTAACTGCTCAGTGAATATTTATTGATTGGATATTTTGTAAGTATGCTTCAAGATGAACCCATGATTAAGGAAAAGATTAGTTTTATTAAATGAAATGTATATTCTCTAATATATCTGAATCATTTATATTGTGTTTCAGGTCAGTTTACGTTGCGAGACATGTATGAACAATTTCAAAATATCATGAAAATGGGCCCCTTCAGTCAGATCTTGGTTAGTTAACCTAAAAAGTTTTTTCTAACTTTTTTTGTTTTTCATTAAAATTTCTGAGAATGGATGCACTTGCTTTAATTATTCTTTATATTTGGGTAAAAAGAGATATTTGAAAAATTTAGTGCAATATTAAAGCTAATAGTTAAATGTCAACATTATGAAAAATTAATCTTAAGCTATTGTTGATTTTATGTTTAAATATATCTGTTTTAGGGGATGATACCTGGTTTTGGAACAGATTTTATGAGCAAAGGAAATGAACAGGAGTCAATGGCAAGGCTAAAGAAATTGATGACAATAATGGATAGTATGAATGATCAAGGTAAGATGGTAGATTACTTGACTTGGAGGACAGTGTTCTGAATATCAGCAAGTTAAGAGTGTCACTGTGGTCTCATGGACAAGATGAGGAAAAATTTAGACTGAAAGATTTTTGTTAGATAGATTTGTAGCTCCTTGAAAACTCTTACAGGGTTTCTATTATTAGATCGACTTTATCATTGAGAGAAATGTCTAGTACAGTTTTTCTCCAAGTGAGTCTCATGTAAAGACCATTAGTTCTTCATGATGTTGGTAGAAATAAAAAGGAAGTTCTGTAGTCTAGTTTGGTGGGATACTAGGTTAAAAAACTAAGTTTGTTTATTATAAGTCTCCTCAGAGCTCTAATATGCTACCATGAAGTGGAATCTATAAGAGAGGGATAGTTGAAGCAATGTTTACAAACTCATTTTGCTCTGAAACTGATTATCCATTTTTCAGTCTTCTCAGAAAAAGTATACTGCTCTATCTCTATGATCCTGTGTTATCACTACCTCCTATACTTCCACATCTTTTATCTGGTCCTCATTCCATTAACAGTTCTAGTCCTATGACCCCTTTATCTTTTTACCAGTTTTTTAGCACCTGTTCTTATTCAGTCCAGCAGGTGTGCCAAAAATACCTTTTAGGCCTTCTGCTTCTACCACTTGACCTCTGGCCTTATTTACAAAGAAATACATACAGGCTTTCGGCATTGAATTTTCTCTACCTTTGGCTAACATACCAGTAAGATTGTGATAGCAACAAACTTTTCTTCAAGCCTTTTCAAGGACCTCTCTCTATCAGGAAAATCCTTACCTTTACCTCCAGTTTCTCCTGATAGGCTGACTTCTTTTCCTCATCAGGGTATAAACATTCTTAAATTCACATTTTCTGGGCTTTACTTCTCCCTCATGCATTTACTCTGTGTCTCTTTTTAGTCAAGTTTCTTAAAAGAACATTTTGTATTCTTCTTAAACTATTGAAATCTGACTTTTGGCCCCACCATTACTCTGAAATAGATCATACCAAGATCTCCAATAACTTTCTACTGGTCTTTACAACATTGGATATTAATCACCATTTTTCCTTAGTTTCCATTATGCCATCTCCACACTTTTACCCTTACTTTTCTTGTTAACTTTCACTGGTCTCTCTCAGCTCATCTCTTCAGTGAATATATGCTACAGGGTTCTGTCCTCAGCCATTATTTCTTATCATTCTTCTCATTTTTCATTCTCTTTTCTTTTCCACATCTATGTGTTGTCTACTGCCCGATTGTTCATTTTTTGTAGTCTCTACCTCTTTCCTGAGCTCTAGGCTTTCATAGTAACCTAAATAAGATTGTGTCTTTCTTATTGCTATGTCTTCAACACTAGAAAAAGTTTTGCATGTAGAATTAATATTTGCAACAATATCTAGAGTATTTACTCTGTGCTAGGCACTCTTCTGAACACTTTACATATATTAACTCGCTTAATCTTCACAAAAACTCTAAAGGGACAATTCTGGGGTCAAAATCCATTATTTAGCTTTTACTGATTAGGAAACTGAGATACAGGGAAGTTGGGTAATTAATTCAAGATCATTAGCTAGGGAGTGGTGAGACTGGGCTTTGAACTCATGCATTCTGACTCAAGAGCCTACACTATGGATCACCTTCTCTCTAGGTGCTCACTAAATGGTGGACAGACGTCCCTATTTACATGTTTGAAAGTTTTCTGAGGCACATCACATCCAAAATGTAGTGCTTCTCCCTTGGTGAGTGACACTTCCATCTACCTACTCAGTCATCCAAGCTAGAAACTGGGGTCAACTTAGACTTATATCCTTGCTGCTTTTCTGTCTAGTGGTTCTGTGATTATGGAGATAGAGGTATTGAAATGCCTAACTTTTCTCCTTTCAGTTGTGTCAGTTTTGCTTCATATATTTTGAATCCCTTTGTTGGGTTCATACACATTTAGAATTATGACTTATTAGTAAATTAACCCTTTTATCATTATATATGTAATGGCCTCCTTTGTCTCTGATCTACTTTGTCACATATTAATACAACCACTTAAACTTTTAGTTTTTTTGCATTGTATATCTTTTTACTTTTAGCCTACTGATACCATATTTGAAGTGAGTTTATGTCAATAGCATATAATTGGGTTATGTTTTTTTCTTTTAATACATTCTGGTAATCTCTTAACTGATATATTATTCATATATTAGGATTTAGTTCTACCTAAATTAGGATTTTATTCTGTTTGTTCTCTCTGATTTTTGTTCTTCTTTCTTTTTTCACCTTACCTGTAGATTACTTGACCATTGTTTTAATGTACTTATATTATTTTTTAATAGATCTCTGAATAGTTTTGTTAGTGGTTACTCTGGGTATTACAGTATACATAGGTATTTAACTTAACACAGTCTACTTGTATCAGTGTTTTACCATTTCAAGTGGAATATAGAAACCTTAGAAGTGTGAGTTCTACATTCTAAATATTTCTTATATATTCCCTCTTCCCTTTGCCTCTATATTCCCTACATTAATTCTTCCATTCATCATTTCCTACCTAGATTGCTACAGTAGCCTCATGACGCTTCTCTTTTTCTTTTTTCACTCCTCTTTTCAATCTTTCTTCCTCACTGCCACAAGAATAGTCTTTATAAATGACAGTTCTGAGGTCAAAATCTTTCAATGGCTCTTTATTGTCTTCAGACGAATTCCAAACTCCTAAGCCTGGCATACAAGTTCAGTTATAACCTTGTCCTTACCTACTTTTGCAACTTCTTAAATCTATCAACTCTTATCTATGCTTGGTTCCTGCTATGCAAAACTATTTTAATTTATCATATTACTCCCTGTTCTGCTTCCTAGAATGTTCCTTATTCCTTTCTCTTCTCTACTTAACTCATACTTGTCCTTCAGGACTACTCAGTTAAAGAGAAACACTAGCATGGAGCCTTTCCTGACTTCCTTCTTTAAATTGTCTCCTTCATCTATTTGCTTAACTCTATCATATTGCTTACTGTGATTCGCTATGATTAGCTTATCTTCTTTCTCTCACTCCATTTGAGCTCTTGGAAGGAATATGATAAACGTTTCCTAAATATTTTATATTGAAGATGTGAATTAAAAGCCGCATTTCTGAAATGGATTTAGAGGTTTTAACGGATTGTAAGTTTATTATGAGATAATTTGATCTTTATTTATATTGGTAATCATACGTTACCTAGATTTTAGTTCACTTCTGGACACTACACTTAGGGGGCATAGACAAATTAGAAGTAGTATTTAGGAAATCAGGGTGATAAATGGGTTTCTAAACCATGTTATAAGAGGAACAGTCAGAAGGATTGAATATCACTTAGAGAAAATTCATAAGCGACATGTGGTTCTCAAATATTTCAAAACTTTATTCTTTGTGCCTGGCAAGGAGACATCTATGCAAATAGGAAGAAGTACCAGGCAAACATATTTCATTTTAATATGTGAAAAAACTTTCTGTAATTCGAGGTGTAATAGAATGGCATAGATTGCTTTATTTTAGATAGTGAGTCTTCTCTCCTGGGGATATTAAGACTGAGGCTAGATGACCACTTTTTGGGGGGACGTTGTAAAGAGGATGCAGATATAATAGAAATTTTGACTAAAAGCCATCCATTTTTGAGATTGTATGCAATTAAAACCAGAAGAAATGCACCTCATATTCTGAGTTAACAAAACACTGGAGGAAATTAACTCATTCTTTATGTTACAGAAAGGATTAAAATACTACTAGTAATTAGTTGATTATAGGAAACATAACAATTATTCTGTTGATTATAGGTAGAATTACCTACTTCTGCTTGCTTGTATGCCTAAATTTATGATTTAAACATTAATGGTTATTTACAGCAAAGGTGAGCGCTTTTGTTCTTTTTTTGAAATATACCTTTTACCTCTGGTTTATGATCTGAGGCGCAGTTGGGTGTGAGATATGTAAAGGATGGACATGAGTTTCAAAGGTTTTTAGAATGTTCTATTTTGCTTAAACTGTAGGGTGAGTACATGTATATTTGTTTTTTTTTTATAGCTTATGAATATTATAAACATCCTTTTGAATATATTCCATGTGTAATTTTTTAACATCAGGCAAACATGTCAGATGATAATAACATTTGTTAAATCTGGTGATGGTTTGATCATTATATTTGTTTTTCTTTGTGTAAAATGTTTGCACATAACTGCTGTGATAATGAACATTAATTGTATGTAAGTGAAAGTAATTTTTTCTTGCCTGCAGAACTTGATAGTACAGACGGTGCCAAGGTTTTTAGTAAGCAACCAGGAAGAATCCAAAGAGTAGCAAGAGGATCAGGTGTGTCTACAAGAGATGTTCAAGAACTTTTGACACAATATACCAAATTTGCACAGATGGTAAAAAAGATGGGAGGTATCAAAGGACTTTTCAAAGGTAAGAAAAATAAGCTCATCAATAGTTAACACACTAAAAGGAAAGAATGTTGAGAAACTAAAAATTAAAGCCAAGAAGTGTTACCAGTATTAGAAAATATATTGCTGTATTTCATGTTATATTTAAATACTTCTGGGGTTTATAATGTGATCTGTGATTTATCTGTTTTTAGGTTCAAGGTAATAAACATTATTATTTAAAAAAAAAAAAGGTAATGACTTTATTTTTTTGAAGATGTGATATATAGTAAATAAAATTTAGAGAATATAAGAAAGTATGAGAAAAAAATTTTAAATACCCATTGCCTTTGATTCCCAAAGAATACTATGAGTCCTATTGCAAATAACATTTCATATTAACTAGTGGTTTTTTCTGATACATCATGGCTATTTTCCATATTGTCAAATATTTTTTAAAATATAACTTTTAGCCACTAAATACTGTTTCAGTCGAGCATGTATATTTGTTTAATACAGTGCTACTTTGTTGGATATTTAGGCTGATTTATCTGTTTCTATGTCAGTATTCATTTTTGTATCAATTAATTCTATGTTGTTTTCCTTAAGGCCAGGGAGTGTGTCTGTTTGATCGGAAGCATAGGAGATGCTGAATAAGTTTTGTAGGAATTTAATATTTCCAATTTAATGGTCAAATTTTTTTCAATGTGCGTTTTTTAGGTTGCTATTCAAGTGTGACATGTCTTTGTACATTTACTGGTTTGAATGTCCTTTGTGAATCACCTCTTAGGTTCTCTGTTTATTTTATTTTCCCTTATTGCTTTAACTCATTAAAATCCTTGGTTTATATCTGCAAATATTTTTCTCAGTTTTTCACTTGCCTTTTTATTTATATTTTTTAATAAACAAGTTTTCATTTTTAATGTAGACATTGCTACTTATCATTTCATTTCATTTATTTTATGCTCAAAGAAATTTTCACCATGTTGATAACAACAATAGTCAGCTACATTTTCTTCTATTTGTTTTGATTTTATTCTGTAGATTTTACTTTTTGTCCCATTTGGAATTTGTTTTGCAATGTATTGTGTAAAGTAAAAAGATGAATTTGTTTTTCCAAAGAATAGTGGGGCCTTCCATAGCTCAGTTGGGAGAGTGGAAGACTGTAGTGGATGTTTTTCCAAAGAGTTAATCAATTGTCCCAACCCTCTCTTAATTTTTTCTTTTTTATATTATAAACACCATTAAAGTAAATTTATTATTTCAAAAACTTGATTAGGCAGGCTCCAAAGATGTACAATAGATAATAGCTTTCTAAAAAAATGAGTATTTACAGAAGTTCTTCTCACCTGTTGTCTTTGATACTTTTCTTATTTTTCCTTGCTTGCTATACCCTATTTTCTCTTTTGTGACAAAGGGAAAAAGTTAGACAGCATGTTTAAAATTGGTTATAATTCCTAACATCACATGCTGTTTCAGACAGTTATTAATAAATATGTTATGTCATTCTAACATCTTTCCCAAATGACCCTGCTATTGTTTTTTCCCCTCACTTTATTTATTCATTATTTTTCTTTCTTTTATTTTTCAGTTGTCAGTCTGACCTTATCTAAGCATTGATTACCCAATAAAGGCACAACCAAGATGAATTGGGTGGTGGATGTGGTGCACATCCATGTCACATCAAACTCAGTATTTTTCAGAAATTTTAAATCCTCAGAAACAAACTTTTACAAGAAATCACCAATGAACATAGAATTTACATCATATACAGATTTATTAATTATTCACAGCTTTTATCATGTTCTATAAAAAACATTTTTCATTCATAGTTCTTTGATTTATTCAGATTAACTTTGATCAGAGAACTGGGCAGCTTTGGTTTTCTTCTTCCTAAATGCTCCTGAGAAGTTCCAGAGTTACTATTCCTTTGAAATAATTTTACTGAAGCCATTTTACTTATTCATTGCTGTTGCTTCAATCTCTTTTACTTCCTGTCTCTTAAGCACAGCAGCTATTCTCTAGAGGAATGCTCTTATCAGTTCTGCTCCAGAGTGCATCTCTTTCATTGGCTGCCATTTTAACTGTGGAATTTTGACCATGTATGGAAATTCATTGATAAATGGAGTTAGATTGTCTTTCTGTTCTCTGAAACTTTTTGCTATTTTTAATAGCTTCTTAGATATATACAAATTTTTCAGTTCTCTTAGATTCATTTTTTCATATTTACCAGTTATCTAGTCTCTTTCCTGATTAACCCATAGCTATAAACATAGTTTTTGTTCAGCATACTCCCTTATCACTATTAAAAATTATTGTTATTGCTTATTAAGAGCCACTGGATGCAGTTTTTCTTATAGTGGTTCATTCATAGATAATAACAAAGTATTAAGAAAAACCTTCGCTCTCAAAGTCTCTTAAATGTCCCTTAATACAGAATTTCACTTGTTCATTCTCAAAAATATATATGTAATTGAAATGAAGATTAGAAGGGATATGGACAAGTAGAAATAATTGTGTTAAAGATTATAGGTGATTTTTTTTTTTGCTTATTTACGCAATCTATTAAAATTCCTAGGATACGCCAATTATATTACATTCTATATTGACTCAAAACTTTTTTTGTTTTCAGGTGGTGACATGTCTAAGAATGTGAGCCAGTCACAGATGGCAAAATTGAATCAACAAATGGCCAAAATGATGGATCCAAGAGTTCTTCATCATATGGGTAAATACAAAGTTGTCACTTGCTAATACAGTTTAATTTATAAAGATTGAGTTTAAATAAACCTTCTGTTGTGAAAATCTGTTCAACAGATGTGTGCATTGAGGGAAATGGCCGTCTGACTTCTAAGCTGAATGGTTATAATAGTGCTATATTAGCTGAGGTTTTATTCACTCCTATGCTGCCATTTGTGTGATTTTTTGGGCAAGCCACTTAATCATCTTTTGTTCATGCTTACTTTGGTGACCTTTTCCCCTGGATATTTTAGGATATTTTAGTTTAGAATCTGGATATTTTAAATGATGAGACTTTGAAATTATACAAGGATTTTGAAACCCAGTTCCACTTTTACTTTGTAACCTATGAAAAGTTCCTTAAACTTTCTGAACCTCAAATCCCCTTCTTTAAAATCACAGATACTGTCTATATCAGGAAATTGCGACAGTTGAATGAGCTAATAAATATGAAAGCATTTGGTACAGTTCTGGGCATAAGTAGATGTTTAATAAATGGTGAATTTTTTCTGTAAGTCCTATGAAATAACTCTGCCCTTCTGTAAGTCCTATGAAATAACTCTCTGCCCTTCTGTAAGTCCTATGAAATAACTCTCTGCCTTTCCTTACTATTTACAAGAAGACTCTTTTGGACTTCCAGGAAAATAAATTTTTTATTTGGATTTTTTTGACTCCTTATTGTGTGATAGGTACTGTTAAGATTTTTTTCCTATGTCATTTCATTTATTTCTCATAACTTGATGAGGTAGGTTCTTCATTCTCTTTTATAGATGAGGATAGTCATGAATATACAAATTTCGAATTGGTATGTTCTTTAAGGCCGATGACCAAATTATAGTCAGAATCCAGTATATTTTTTGGAAGTTAAAGTACTTATTTGGCAAACGTAACAAATGTTTTAAATTCTACTTAATAATTATCTGATTTTGCTTTCACTCTAGGTGGTATGGCAGGACTTCAGTCAATGATGAGGCAGTTTCAACAGGGTGCTGCTGGCAATATGAAAGGCATGATGGGATTCAATAATATGTAAAGAAGATGCCTTAACATAAACTGACTCAGTTGATTACATTATTTGCTGAGACCTCAGAGTTTCCCTCCTTTTTGCAAACGGGGAAAAAAAAGTATTTTTCTTGCCTGTCTTGCCCTTTTTCTTTCTCTTCTCATTTCCCCCTTCCTTTTCTTTTTCCTTCCTTCTTTCTTCCCTCCTTTCCTTTGATATAAAGAAGGAATGTATGGTTTTTGTGGAAATCATCATATCTTTGCTTTAGATTTTCTTGTTTTCACCATCATAACACTTCTTAAGTTAAACAAATCATGATGTAAAATTTTAGTACTTAAAAGTTTTTAATTGTTTCAAAGGCCAAGCATTACATCTGTAAACAGTCCTGGTCAGTAGTTATATGATGTCTCAATAAAAGTGCTGTAAAATAAACTTCAAAGTCATTATAAGTTAAGGGGTTGTAAACTTTTTTTATAGTTTGAAATTATCGGTGTATCACATTAAAAGACAGATGGAAAAATCAATAGTTTTAAAACTATCCTTAGAAGTATACCTTTAATGGGAAACATAGAGTAACTGAACCATTAGTATTATGAATTTTTGTTTAACTTAAATAATTAAGATAGTTTTGCCATAGAAAATCTTAGCTTTGCCATTTAAATTGAAATTGTGAATTTGGTTACAGTTCGCAATATAATGTTTTGTATATAACTTATATTTTTTTACCTCATATTTTTGAAGCCTTAATGGCAATATTTGATTTTTTTTGAAACGCCAATTTTGTTATGTTTCTTACAAACCAAAAATCTACTTGAAGAAATAGATATACTTTGATGGTAATAGCTAATCTATTGACCTCCTAATGGAAAAATAATTGCAGATATTAGGTTGTCATTTTATATATTAATTTATATAATATATAAATTAATAATTTATTAAAAATATATAAAATGACAAGGTAAATCTGGTTGTTAGTTACTTTGGATTGCTGCACAATTCACTTAGAACAATGGCTTTTAAATAAGTTATGGAATTAATAAAAATATCAGAATTATTATGCCTACTTATTGACATCATGAAGCTAAAAGATATGGTGCAGCAGTGTATTTTGCACTAGAATGAACTGATCTTCAGCAAAGAATTGATGTGTAGTAGTTGGAGAGAGTAAAATAGCTGGTTTTTATAGTATTTTTTTATGACTCAGGTGTTTTAAGAAGGTATCTTTAAAAAATAATTTTTTTTAAAGATAAGTCAAAGTATCTTTAAAAAATAATTAATAATAATGCAACTGATTTCCTTGTATACTTGGGCAAAGATTTTATATCCCACTAAATTATTTTCACTAGCTAAAAACTAGAATATTTCTATAGAACATTGTATATACCCTGTACAAATAATGTATCCTGAGTTCTGTAGAAATGTCATTTGCAAGGTCTAGCTATAGAAATTTGACAAGAGAAAATATTGTTCTCCATATTAGTTTCTAATTAAACTGATGGCATACCACCTTTTCTGGACATGCATTTTTGTGATTTCTATCTTTGGGGTACCACCTTTGTGTTTTGATCAGGAATGGAAATGAGACACTTAGCCAAACTTTATGGCTTCAGGCAATATTTTTGGTATTTTTGGGTCTGATGCAAATTATATTTTTTCAGAAGCAGAAATAACAGTGGAAAAGGACAACTAAAGGCCTAAAACACCTAGTTCAGCTTCCATTTCTCTTCCCTCTTCTGTAAAGTGAGGGAATTGGAGAAGCCCTTAGCGTAGTACCTGGGATATTGGGCTTCATAAGTGAAGCCATTGCTGTTATTTAACAATTTCTTTATTCTTAAAATCAATCTAATGTGGATTTTTAATTTTACCACCTTATTCTTGTGTATCAATAATGATCAAAATATATACTCCTAATTTGAGGGATGGGATAACCTTAAAAATATTCTCTACTAAAATATATATGTAGCTATGTCAAAACCACAAGAAAGTCTTGTTTTTTTATTTGATGGATATTCCTGGTTATTAAATTTTACTCAGCTTTGTTTTCCCAGCCTTTCACAGAAATAGATCCAAATTTACCTTTTTAGCTCTATATGTATCGTTAAATGATAAATTTAGACCACAATTACATTTTCAAGTAGATAAATGTAATAAAACCTGAATTTGTTTTTTCATCATGGTGATACAATATGACTTATACTATAAAGGGAAAGAAGGGAAGATTTGGCATGTTGCTTTGTTGCCCACTTTTAGTTGACCTATGACAGTGTGGAAATAATGACAAAAATGTAAATGCCCCAAATCCATTAGAATTTCTATACTTTTCTGTCGCTATGAGTTGTTCATTTGTAATAGACTGCTCTTCAATTTCATATTTGTGTTAAAAGTAACTCTTCTTAGAAAATACTTCTAGTACATGTTGGAATGTGACTTCCATTTTAAATTTTCAGTAAACTAAGAAATGTACCATGGAAATGACTTCTGCTTTAGCAGTGAAAAACTTATAATTTGATGTTTAATTTGGCCAATTCGCAAAATAAAATCATGCATTTATGAATATTCCACCAATTTTTAATAATAAAGAATCTTGATTACCTTTCTTGCTAGTAAGTGGAAAGGGATTTTGAATACGTGTAATGTAGAACTGTTTCGTTTATGAAAGCCAATTCATGAAGTCTTTAACAATTGGCTCTTTTTCTTTTCAATTTATTGGGTTTTGCATTTTGCACTGACTCAATCCCTGGCTAAAGTCACTAGACAACATCAGATCATGCTACTAAAACTTGTTTACCTCAGCAATAAGACAATTTGATTTTATTACTGGAATATCGATTATGATATTCCAACCAATGTTTAAAATGTAGATGGTTTTCAAACGATCAACATTTGTTTTTAAGGTTTTTTTTTTTAAGTTACCATAATTATAGCAGGATGGAAAGTATAATATTAAGCAGAGAGTAAGACAAAATAACTTTTGCACAGGAGAGAAAAGAATATTGAAGGTTGTAGGGATGGGTGTTCCAGCCTGCTGGCTGCTCGGGTGCCTTGCTGAATAACATGTACTAGGGCATAACTTTGAGAAGCATTTATGAATTTTGCCTGGAATGAAATGGAATTTAAAGTGTCAAATGAAACCCTCCACCACCCGCCGTGGCCAAAATAATGTATTTTATTTTTGACCTCTACAATTCGTGAAAACTTGTGTGAAAACTTTCATACTAAAACTACAATTTAAAAAATCATTTACCTGGAAATGACCTAACTAGTTTAATGCTGTAATCATTGAGATCGCGACTTTTTAATTTGGTTGAACATTGGGAAAAAAATGGGAGAAGTCTGGGATGCTTCCTCACGCGCTCGCGCGTTCCTAAAACATGATTCCTCACATTTGTCAAAATGGAAGCTTGTTGTTGCCCTTTGCTCTCCATGTGTCCCTTAACTTTTTCTACCGTTATATTTATTTCTGACAAGGGTAAGCAACATTCACCTTTGAGGCTCTTATTTTAAAGATATTTTGGCTATACCGTCGTCATCCAGGTTAGAAATGGAATATGCGCACGAGCCGTACATTTAAAAATATTTTTTCAGCAACCGCATCTCAGCACAAGCCTTTGAACCACTTTGTAGCTGTTCTCATTTCACAAGTGTAAAAACCAAGGTCCGAGAGAGTGACTGCCCAAGATGCAAGTGGTTGGTTAGCGGGTGCGCGGATATCTAAAGCCAAGATACAGGTGCCAGTACGAGGAACGACGTCACTGGGGATGATGACAGGCAGCGAGCCCCAGACGTGGGCGGGGCCGGAAGCGATACTGCAGAAGGCCCCGGTAGTTGCACCTCCCACGCTGCAGTCAGCCGACTCCCAGGTGCAGAGCCCTGTGGGCGAGGCGGCGGCCGACCCCGCCCCTTGAGAGGCCCCGCCCCCAGGCCCGCCCCTCCCGCTGTGGCGTGGCGGGGCGCGGCGCGAGGCGGGCAGTGCGGGTGGGTCCCATTTCCCGGCCGCGGGCTCTGTCTACGACTGGGCCGGGGGGCGGAGGATGGAAGTGGCTTTATCCGTCACTACGTTCTATCTCGTCAGCAGCCCTGTGGCGGCAACAACGATGGACCCGGAGCCTGTGAGCCGTGCGGAAGGCGGAGAAGCAGTAGCAGCCTCAGGAGCTGCGGCCGCCGCGGCGTTCAGGGAGTCGGAGCGGCAGGTAGGTGAAGCCGAGGCTGGGAGAGCCCAGCCTCCTCTCTGCCTTGTCTGCCTGCTGCCCTTTTGGCCTGCGGGCCTTCCTCCGAGCAGGCCGCCCCCCGGAGGTGCTTTTCGGGGTTCTTCCTCAGTACCCCGCCTCTGCTTGGAGGAAGGGACCGCTCACCAACCCCTCCTGTGGCAGCGCCGCGGACTCTCGGGCGGCCTCGGGTTTCTAGGGGTGATATTCCAGTTTCGGGTCTGCAAACGTGAGAAGGCAGGCGTTTCCCCGAAAGGTGGCCTTCGTGGCTGGAATCCAGGTGACGGCGGCTTCAATCACCTCAGTCTCGTGCAGGCGTCTGACCTGGCATCTGGCCTTTTCTTAAGTAATAAAAAATAAGTACTAAGTGTTTACAGGTTTTTGCATTCCTTATAACTTCTGCGTGAGGTGGGCATTATCCCCATTTCACCTTAGTGAGGTAAACTAAGGCGCAAGCGGCACTGTCACATAAAATGTAACCGAGCCTTATTGTAAATTCTACATTTTGTAGTAGCCACATTAAAAAAGTAAAAAAAAGTGAAATTAATTTTAATATTATGTTGTTTACCCAATTTATCAAAAAATTTTAACATATAATATGAAGTGAAATTAACATGTTAACTCAATTTATCAAAACATTTCAACGTGCAATTAATATGAAAGTTATCAATGAAATATTTTACATTTTCTTTTTGGTACTAGTCTGAAATCCTGTATGTATTTTTCACTTACTGCACATCTCAGTTCGGAGCAGTCATATTTCAAGTGAGCATTAGCCACGTGTGCCTGGTGGTTACTGATTTGAACAATGTCAGTTTAGAGAGTTAGGTAAGGTTTTGAATTTGATGGTCTGTAGTATTTTAGGATCTTTGGCCAAGTCAAACTGATGAAGAAATTGCTTTAGCTGAAATCAGCTTAGGAGTATAGTTTTATCTAGTAAAAACCTCGAGTTGCTCCTATGTAGAAATCTTTCCACCCTGCTTGAGAATGAAGCCTTTTCAGTAGGTTCATTTTTGAGACTTAACTACTTGAATGGTAAGACATTTTCCCCAAGCTACAGAGCCCCAGAGAATGGTGCCTGAAAGTGCATATAGCTCTTACAGATGTAGTTTGCATTTACAAAAACTTTTTCCGCATACTAGTCTTTATGTGGAATTTCCTGGTTTTTTTTTCTTCTACTTAAGAAAGAGGAAGGTAACCTGTAAGAAGGAATTCAAGGACAATGCTAATTGATTAGGAAGCCACTTTTCAGTTGACACCTATGGTTGACAGGTTCACTTGAACCTTTAAGTTTACAGTGCTTGATGTGTTTTCCATTTGGTTTTTCCCTCTGTTACTATAATTGTTTTCATCACTACTTAAGCTTCGAATCTGATAACAAAATAAACATACCTGTATGATTTACCAGATAAATAATTGAGGAAAGGCTCTTTGTTTTGGCTGTGTGATATTATGTTATGTTCTTATTCTTAGTTCTTAGATATAACTGTCTTTTCAGATCTTTGGAGTTTGTTAAAATGGGATTTGTGTAATCGACAATAAAAATTTTGTTTTAAGGTTTATTATTTATCTGTAAAAATCAAACATTTGCAAAATTCAGAGAATAACTTTCATTTATAATTGTTGGAAATTTTGTACCAAATTACTTTCTGGTTAGTTTTACCCATCAATACCTCCTTTAACTGACGCCCCACCCCACCCCAAGTAGAAGTTGGAATCACATGTCATAGATTGTCTTTCACAGATTTTTTACTTGCCAATCTGGTTCCTTCTGATGAGGGCTTCACAGATTTTAGCCTATGGGCCAGATTCCACCAACCGCCAGTTTATATAAAGTTTAATTGGAACAAAGCCATTATGTATTGTCCATGGCTGCTTTCAAAGAGTTGGTAGTTGTGACAGACACTATACTTGCAAAGCCTAAAATATTTACTTTTTGGCCTTTACAGAAAAAGTTGGTTCACTCCTCCTTAAGATGGTAGAACTTGGGTTTTACTGTATCGAAAATTAATATAAAAATTTAAAAAGAAAGCCCTTAAATAAATCTGTAATAAAAATCTTTATATACGAAATGTGATAATTGGAACAAATAAAATGCCATTTTTAATTACATATGTATAGAGGATATTACTCAAAGTTCTGTTTATATTCAACTAACAGGTATTGTAATAAAAAATATGAATCGTGTTTCAGTCTTCCCTTTTGTAGATATTTTTTTAACTGGAAAGAATAGAGCTGAGTCAGTTAATGGAGATAGCAGCTAAGTTTGTACTAGTTGTTATGACCCAGACAAGAATGTTTTGATTTATTAAAATTGTCTAAGGAAAATAAAGTAGTTGAGCCAATGAAAGACACCCCTTCTTCCTTTGTCTGTATCTTAGGAAAGAAAAATTAAGCCAATGAGAGATTGCTAGAGGGAGCAGTGAAAAGCTGCTTCTGTTCTGATGGGAGTGGAGTGGGAGTGGAATGGAGCGTGGTGATGTACTGTGAAAGGTCTCAGCTCTATTCACTGACTGGGACTGTTGCTTTAGCATCATATCCATACAGTTAGTATGACTGGAGATCTAAACCAGCTCCTCTGATTTTCCCTTGTCCATAAGGGGAGCCAGAAAGTCATGATCCAAAGGAGACATTGATGTCAAGACAACCACAAACCAAAACTTAAATCAAGGGGAAAACGAGAGTGGATGAGAATGGCTCACTGTGCCTAGGGATTGGGGATGGAAGAAAAGTGGCCCGTGTGGGCTGTATGTTGTCCACTTTGTTTCTGGACACAATAAAATGGGCTTGTCTTCCTTTATTAAGGGCTGGATTTTTTTAGAACCCTCAGGACAGACTAGAGAAAAATTGCAGTTTCCACCCCCCCCTCCCAGGTTAATCTGTAGATAGCCCATGCTATCAACATTTTCATGATCTCAGTTTGCTATATAACAGTTACAGTTGCTGTCAGTGGACCACGCGTGTAATGGAACAATACGTCTATTATTTGGGTTGAATATACCTGGATTCAAATCCTAGCTAATGACCAAATTTACCTATGGAAGTGAGGGACAGAAAAAGAACCATATCTATATTCTAAGAAAGACCTTAGAAGATTAAGAGGAAAGCATGCATAAAAACAGTTACTTAAACTGGCATAACTGGGCAATTCTAGTCCACTTTTTATTAGTATAATGCCATCTCTATACATGCAGTTCAAAGAATGTTTCTAGTGATTGAACAACAGTTATGGCTTTAAATTATGTTTGGTCATATCTACAAAGAAGAATTTGTATAGAGGACAACATTTTTGAACTCTGGACTATCTTAGAGAATCTCACTGACATGGATTCTAATCATGACAGTCCTGTAGTCCTGTATCATTTTGCTTTGGTTTAATTTTAAAATTTAACCAGTAATACATGAACATATTTTCATCACAAAAACAAAACAAAATAATAAAATACAAAAATGAATAGAAAGCCCTTTTAACTGCTCCCTTATTTGTACCTTCTCCCCCATTTTCGTACCTATCCCCAGGGGTCACCACTGTTGCAAGATTTTTTTTTTCACAATTATTTGTACTGGTCCTTCTTGAAAGCTTCAGATAAGAAGATTCAATGAGGGCCTTCTTCAGATTTTAAACTTGAGGCAGAATGACAGGGAAGAAAAGCTCTTCATCTTCTTCCACAGTATACACTTACTCTGAATTTGGCACATGGCTATGTGTGTGAGGTAAAACTAGTATTTATCCAGGAGTAGAATTTGGACATAATTAGAATTCCATAGATTACATATTATAGTTTTAAAATTCATAAAATCTTTTTACTATCAGGAGAAGTCTGTTGTCACCTATATATTACTAAGAAGTCTGGAAGTTCAAAGATATATCACTGATGGCTTGCTTTTCAGATCTGGTTTAGAAATGAGTTTTATTTGGCCTGCACAGTGCTTTAAAATTATTTTTAATTTAATGTGTTTAATTGGGGCATGCTTTTTCCAAAGGGTCTATCCGTCTTTCCATCTTTAGCTTTACACATTTTTGGTACCTGTTTGACCCTAAAAAGCGTTTGAATCTGGGGCTACTGTTTTGAGAAAAGGTGCGGTTCAGAGTTAAAGTGAACTGGTTTGGTTTTGCTCACGCTTAGCTTAGATCCAAAGACTTAGGAGAGTTCCCTGGTATAAATGGGTACTTTATTCTCCCTATCCATCCTACATATATGTGCATCTATATGATTTTCCTTTGATATTACACATTAATCTTGCCATAATTAGCATTATATTTTAAAACGATGGCTGTCCAACATGTCTTCACATATATTGCATTGGAATTGATATAACTTGAAGTGTGGTGCTTGATTTCTTAGCTGTTGACTTAAACAAAGTTTAATTGATTAAGTTCTATTTTTTTCACCTTGGTAGTGAGTATGCACATATTTGCTTTATTATTAAACTCTTTTGAGATGCTATTGATACTCTTATGATTGTTTTATTTTTTAAAAAACCATTTAAGGATTGGCTTGTGTTTCTTCATTCCCTAAAATAAAGCAACCCAGAAATTTTTTTTTTGTTATATAAAAAAAATTAATCTCAAAATTCTCATTTTCTTAATTTATTATTGGCATTAGATGAGTAACGAAAGAGGCTTTGAAAATGTAGAACTGGGAGTCATTGGAAAAAAGAAGAAAGCCCCAAGGAGAGTCATCCACTTTGTTAGTGGTGAAACAATGGAAGAATACAGCACAGACGAAGATGAAGTTGATGGCCTGGAGAAGAAAGATGTTTTGCCTACTGTTGATCCTGTGCGTTTGATACTGGTGACCCTTTTGTCAGTGGGTTTTGCTTTGATTGATGTGTTTCCCCTTAAACATTGAATGGAAGGAGTCATTTGAGATTATATTCTGATTATAAAATTATGCATTATCTACCAAAATTATGATTTTGGTAGAAAACAGTATTTTTATACAATATGGGTGGAAATATTTCCTGCATTTCAGAAGCATGAATAGTTTTTGAGTGTCAGAGTTCTTTGTCAGTGTGGATAGGTTTCCAGATTTATCTTACTAGAGTGCTTGACTTTCAGTCTCTTTGAATTAACTATGTTACCATTATAGTTTCCACCCAAAACTTACAGTTGTTAGTTCTTTTTATAAGTTCTGATTAGAAGTTAGGCATGTATAGTTCTTAATTTTATATGCCTCACTAGCTAAATTTAAGAATTTTTAACTTATAAAAGATGTGACTATAAAATCATAAAACTAGCTGTATATTTTTAAAAATGTAATGTTGCCCTTCTAAGGCATTTTAAGAGTTCACTTGATCAAATATTGACTGATTTTTTCTAACAGGTACTGTTTTAGGCACTGGTGATAACAGTAATGAGCAATGTGAATTTCTGCTCTTATATGCTAGTGGGCAATAAATATATACTGTAATTATCAGACTATGAAAGTGCTATGAAGAAAAAGCAGGATAGAGAATTGTTAATTTATATTTGATTCTTAAAATGTTATTACTAGTTTTTCATCAGATTTGGCTCTGAATAAATTTTGGTTATTAAAAAGGAATCAAATCCAGATTCCCTACTATAGAAAATATTCAAAAGACTGCAACATATTCTGAAGGGAATTCCAAACCCTGCAAAATATTGCAGAAGTGTTTCATGCAGTGAAAGTATGATTGGGATAAAGGTCTTTCTTTTAAATTACTTTGTAGGGGTTCTTATTTGTCTGTATAAATTTGTATGCATATGTATGTTTAAAAAAGTCATTGTCTCAAAAATTGCCCTCTTTACGTAGACACTAAGTAATAAAGGATTACGTAGAAAAAAATGCATGCTTAATACTTTCCTAAAGATTTCTTCCGTTTTTAAAGCTTTATTGAGATACAGTTCGCTTAGGTTAGTTTAGGCTTTCTTCTTTCTTAAATAACTATGAATTTCTTCTTAATTTTTAAGCAGTGCTTTAGTTGTAGGTCATAAGTTTTTATATGTTATATCTTCATTTTCATTCCTCTCAAAGTTAACTTTTCCTCTTTGATTTTTTTCTTTGACTTTTTGGTTATTTAAGAGTATGTTGTTTACTTCCCACGTTTGTGAGTTTCCCACATTTTTTTCTGTTATTGATTTCTAATTTCACTCCATTGTGGTTGGAGAACATACTTTATATGATTTCTGTCCTTTTAAATTTATTGAAGATTGTTTTGTGGCCTAGCTTGTGGTCTGTCTTGGAGATTGTTCTGTATGTACTTGAGAAGGATGTATATTCTGTTGTGGTTAGGTTGAGTATTCTATTGATGTCTGTTAGGTCTGCTTGATTTATAGTGTTATTCAAGTCTTCTGTTTCCTTGTTGATCTTCTGTTTAGTTGTCTTATTCATTATTGTAAATGGAGTATTGAAGCCATCAACTGTTGTTGAATTGTCTATTTTGCCTTTCATTTCTGTCAGTTTTTGTTCTGTTGAGCCCCTCTATTGACTTTTTCATTTCAGTTATTATACCTTTCAACTCTGGACTTCCCATTTGGTTCTGTTTTATAATTTCTAACTCTTTATTGATATTATCTATTTGATGTAACACTGTTATCATACCTTCTTTTATTTAATTATGGTTTCCTTAGTTCTTTGAACATACTTATAAAGGCTACTTTGAAGTTTTTTGTTAAATCCAACATCTGGTCATTCTCACAAGTAGTTTCTCTCGCCTGCTCTTTTTACTGTGTATGGGTTATACTTTTTTTTTTATGTCTCAATTTTTCTTTGGAAACTGGACATTTTAGATATTTAGTACCAACATTGGGTACTGCCCCCACCTTGCGCCCAGGATCTTGACATTGTTATTTGCTTGTTGATTTGTTTAGTGACGGCTGGATTAGTTCTCTGCTGCAAACTAGCTGGCATCTAGTTTCGTCTGTATCTTCATAGAATCTAAGAATTTTCTCCTAGTTATTCACCACAGTCTCCACTGATTTTGAGAGCATCTTCAGCTTGGACTTTTCCACCTCTGCTGCCAATGAAGTCAGTTCATTTGGAAAGAGATTAGGAGCTATGTTTGGTGCATTTCTCTCTGAGTGACACCCCTACTTTGGGAACTGAGTACTCGGTAGAAGAGGGGAGCAGTAGCCTTGGATCTTCTTGGCTCACCTCTTTTGCGTGAAACCACTGCCTTTTGAGCTGGGGAAAGGGTGATTAGTGCACTAGTATTCTCATTGGCACCACGCCTGAGGCAGAGCCTCCATTTCGTTAGTGGGGGCTGATGGAGGAAGGGAGCCCCTACCAGTCAACTGTACTCACCTGAAACTTAATAATAGACAACTTGTGGGCAGGATGAGAAGTGCTAATTGATGTTCTGTTCTTCCAGGAAGAAAGCCCTCTTATTGGGAGCTGGGGGTAGACGAAGTCCTGTGTTCTTGGCAGTATGAGTCTGGAGTTGAGTTTCTACCTCACTTGGCTGGAAAGGCAGTGGGAGGGAGTGATCTTGGTTCAGTTATCATGGACTCTTGCTTCTCTTATCCAATTTTATATATTTTCTTGAGTAAATGTTTCTTCATTTGTGGTATGCCTTGAGGAACATTTCCAGAGACTTTAAGTGTTTTTGATAATTTTCACCAGTTTCACTGAGAAGCGGGTCCACAGAATTTCTCATGCTATTTTGCTGGAAGTGCATATCCACTCTTAAAATCTTTAATTACCTTGTATATAGTGTGTTGCCGTTAGAATTTATTTGAATTCGTAGGCTTAAACTAACAGGGCAATAAGAAACCTGTCTAATATTTTCTCACTGGGAGGCAATGTGAATAGTCAGCAGCTCAGCTTTTCTGACTCGATCCTATGATAATCACTGCGCTTTGACAAAAATTTAACTCTCATTGCACTTCAGGTTCCGTGAGTATTTAAAAAAAGATAACATTTGCCTCATCTATATTCAGAGTTGTTTTTGAAAATTAAATGAGATAGTATATATGAAAACATTGAAAATGACTAAGAACTATATGCATGTAAGGTAGTAATAGTTAACAAAGCAGATATAATAGGTTGCACAAGAAATCTTACTCAAGAGGCAATTTTAGAATCCATTGGAATTTGACAAGCCATGACTAATTTATAAATTTTGCTCTATAGTTCTTACTCAAGCTTCATTTTAGAGTTTATGAGATTAACTTGTTTGATGGCTCCATTCCTAAAATAGTCATTCTAGAGTTTTAAAGTTATGTTTTCTTGGTAGTAGTTCATGTCTTCCAGATTACAGCGATTTTTAGGCAAATAAGAGCTGCAATCATATCACATATTAATGTAATATAATATATAATAGACATTTAATATATTATTAATGTCATATTTAATATTATATTAATATGAGTTTCCAGTAGGAAACTTATACATTCAGAGAAAAGGAGACTTAGATTTTTTTTATATTATGGTAATTCTTTCCCTTAAGATTTTGCCTTAGATGTGCCTTAAGATGTGCCTTAAATGTCAGCTTGAAGTTGACAGCTGACATTTTTCTTCGAAATAAAAGTTTTACAAAAAAAAAAAATCTAGTACAATTCATGAAGAATTTATAATTAGCAAATAGGAGTATCCATGTTAACGAAGTGAAGAAGACAAAACAATAGCAATTAAATCTTTTGCTAAAAGAGGTACAATTTATTTATTTTTTGATATTTTTTCATTGCTGCCTGAATTATAAATGTCTTCATCTGGTTTATTATTTTTACATACATATGTTAATATTAGTCACTATTTTTCTTTAAGTTTGTAGCTTAATATAGACTTCTGGTCATAAAGAAACGTACAATAATTTTTTTTCTTCCTAAATAGTATTTCTTTTTTTTGGAGGGAAATTTTAAACATTAATAAATGCATTATAGTTTACTTCAGCCCTGAGGATTTGTCCTCTGAATCTGTTTTTGGTCAGAATTAATTTCCATTGTAATTTCCATTTCAAAAAAGATTTTTAAAGCTTACAGCCAACATCCATCAGTTTTTTAAAAAATCGAGATAAGAACACTTAACATGAGAACTCAACAAAATTTTAAGTGTACAATACGGCATTGTTAACTATAGGCAAAATGTGGTAAAACAGATCCCTAGAACTTACTCATCTTGTATTACTGAAACTTTATACCCACTGAATGAACAACTCCCCATTTTCCCCCTTTCCCTAGTCCCTGGCAGCCACTATTCAACTCAGCTTTTATATGTTGGATTATTTTAGATACCTCATACGAGTGGGTATTTGTCCTGCTGCGACTAGCTCATGTCACTTAACATAGTATCCTGAAGCTTCATCCATGTTGTTGCATTTGTCAGGATTTCCTTTTTTTTTTTAAAGGCTGAATAATATTCAATGTATGTGTATACCACATTTTCTTTAGTCATTTGTCAATGGATGTTAGGTTGTTTCTACATCTTGGCTATTGTGAATAATACTACAGTGAAGATGGAAATAGAATACTTCCTTAAGATTCTGATTTCAGTTCTTTTTGATAAATATCCAGAAGTGGGATTGCCACGTTGTATGGTATTTCTATTTTTAGTTTTTTGAGGAACCTTTATAACGTTTTCCATAATGGTGGCACCATTTTACATTCCCACCAACAGTGCACAAGGGCTCCAATTTTCCCACATCCTCACCAACACTTTTTATCTTGTTTGTTTGTTTTGTTTTTGGTAATAGCTATTCTAGCAAACGTTAATAACTGAAGACAAACCTGGCTTCCTTAATGTGAAGAGCAGACTTTCCATTTTCTGTTTGCTTCTAATGCATCATAAATCCGATAGAACAAAGGAATTTTGAAAAGATATTATCCTGTATTATGTAGTAGATTTGTAAAACAGATCCAATTAAAAAAAAAAAAGAAAGCTTGACATTTAAAAGATTTAAGAATAATCTTAATCCAGTTTCTCTAGCATATACTTGATAGAAAAGAAAAGGAGACTTAGATTTTTTTTATATTATGGTAATTCTTTCCCTTAAGATTTTGCCTTAGATGTGCCTTAAGAATAAACATATTTCCTGTAATTCCTTTACCCTTTTGTTTAGTTTTGATTAGGGTTCCTCAAATACGTGTATATGTGTATATACATAGATATTTTAAAAATTTGATTATGCACGTAATTGTTACCTATATAAATGGGCTAATGTTTTTTGTAATATAGTCAGAACTTAAAATTATCTGGGCTCATTTTTCAACTGCCAAATTTTAAAAAGGAAAAGGATAATGTGTTGTAATGAGGCTACTAGCAAATGGACAATCTCATTCATTGCTGCTGAATATATATTGGTAAATTTTCTGATGTAAAGTTTTGCAGTCTGAAGGAAGAGTTTTCCAAATGATTATATTTTTGGCCTAGTTATTTCACCATTAGGAAGTTAAGCATTTGGGAAATATGCTTAATATTTTGTTGCAGTAAATGAGGAAAACAGGATAGAGAAAGTATAACAATGTTTTAAAACATATTTGCTCAAGGAAAAATATACTAATATATGTTAATGATAATTATGGGTGGTTGAAAATAGGTGACTTAAATTTTCTTTATACTTTGCTCCATTTTCTAAGTGTTCTATAATAAACAGCCATTACTTTTATAACCTAAAAGTAAGTTTAAAAACAAAAGTAAAAGGTAGCAAGTCTTAATATAAGGAAGAGATGGATACTTAAATTTTTAGAGATGAAAAAGTAAATCAACTTGAGTTTGTATCATAAATTGGAAGTCTTGAAGACCCAAGATCTCATCCCAGTTCTTCTCTTACTGGGATGATGGTAGTGGTAGTGATGCTGGCAGTGGTGGCTGAGTTCCATTGTAGGCTCTTGAACCATCTGTCCTTTTGATTCAGTAAGGTCAGTGTTTAAACAAAGAACACTATAAATTCATTCTGTGTAACTGTGTGTGATAATGATAGCTGTTATTCAGGAATCTTTATCCAGTTTCTCAGCTCTGGAGCAAGCTTGACTCTTTAGTAGTCATAGCCTGGATATTAGAATTATTCTCTTTAGAAAAATATGCCCGTAGAATTGGTCCACTAAGAAATATATCCTTTCCTCCAAAAGCATGCTTAGTCTTATTCTGTATAGTTCTTTTCTGTACTATTTATACTTTCTTGGCCTTATCATTTACTGTGTGTTATAGAAACTGGTTTCATTCTTTATATTTCTGCACTGTTCATTTACTGTAAAAAACATAAGGTAAACTCTGAGATCAGAGTATCCTAAGCAGAGCCCCGAAAATAACCCTTATACCCACATAAAGGATGCCTCCTGCTCTAAATATAGAATATATAGCAGATTTGATCAGGGAGTCAGAAATATATAGTATCTTCTTAGTTGAATATATTTCTTTGCTTAGACATTCATTCCTGTATAAATAGAGACTAAGGAGCTATCTCACTGTGTGTCTTCTCAGGTGTACTAACACAGAAATTGGCATACCTGCTTTTCATGGGAAGAGCATTATTTTGTTTCCTACTCTCCGCTTTAGCGCATAATGCCCAGTCTTACAGATAGTCTTTATTTTTTTAAACTAACTTGGTACAACTTTATTTTTTAAACTAACTTGGTACAAATTTATTTTTTAAACTAACTTGAATAAAAAGAAGTTTATAAGACGGACCGTGGTTACTCAAAATGACTTTGAAAACTCTTAGGTAAAAAAAATTACCCTCCTTTAACCAGGAAGAAAAGGAAGTAACATTAACATTGGCAAACTGATCAGCTTTAGATATCAGAAAAGGAAGATACTTCCATTTCACCAACAGAGAAAAAAGAATTGTTTTCAGTGTCTACAGTTTTCATTCTTACAGATATTCTTGTATTGGCTTTTTAATACCCTTATAACCATTAACGTATCTTAGCTAAGACTATGGCAAGTTTATCTTTTTCTCCCCTCCCTGGGACCAGTATTAAAACAATTATTTATTTGATTGATTAAGGCTCTATTCTGCATTTTCTTTTAAAACAAAAATATTAGGGCAAGGAAGCATGCTAATATTACTGACTTTATCCATAGATGCAAACTGTCATCTATGTGGCAAGCTTCACAAAAGTATTCTGTGGACTTAGAGCACCAAGATCAGCTATGGAGATGTGCAGTGTAGACTGCATTCTGCCAGTGGTCCTGGCCTACCCAGTATACACCGACCTTCTCTTGCATTATATAGTCTAATCCCTTTATAATCCTTAAACAAAAAACTGATTGCCACTTACTGGTTACTTGTTTCCCCACTAATAGTGTTCATTTGATATGCGTTATCCTGCTTAATTTCTCTGAATCTTGATTTCCCCACCATACTATAAGTGTTTTGTTTTATATGATTTCTTAATGTCTCTTTCCATTAACTGCACACTTTCTCTGATGTGCTTATGAACAATAGAGACAAAACAGCATGACAGGAGAAAGGCTGGCTCTGAATCATCAATTCTTAAATAACTAAGGCTGTGACTTAATGACTCCATTTCAGTGGCTGCTGCTTTTTTTAGTTATTCCATGGGCTTAAGGTGATGGTAGTTATATGGGTGAATGTAAAATATCTTTGTGGAATTCTAGCTATAAACATTTAAATTTTTTATTGGATTGTAATCTGTTCGTAGCATTATCTATAGAATATTCTATGTGCCCACCAAGTATTGACTACTTCATTCTGGTCTAAATATAGAGAATGAGTTTAGGTATGAATGTTGATAACCTGATTTCTTATTGCAGACAAAACTTACCTGGGGCCCCTACTTATGGTTTTACGTGCTTCGTGCTGCCACATCAACCCTCTCAGGTATCATTTCTCTGTATGAATATTGTATAACTACTATAATATGCTCCAGGAGCTTTGCCAAATTGAGTGTTTCAAAAATGAAGGAGAAACAATAGGGAGTTGATCACTCTCAAGCTGGCTAGCGTTGAAAGGGATTAGTCTAACTTGTACTTCACCTTAAAACATTCTTCAGCTTCTGGTTGTGTGTGTGTTTTTAAGCACTGAAAATGGCTATATTTAGACAACGATTTTCATATTCTGAATATTTTCTGTTAGCAACTATTTTGTTATTTTATCATTTGATTTCTTACTGATTTTGTTATTCTGTTTGACTGCTTATTCTAAAGCCTGTAGTTACAATTTATTTTCTTTCATTAATATTTCATTTCTTGAGATATAACTAAGTCTTATTTGAAAGAAATTAATTACCAATGTATGACTTAATCATGCTAACTTTAAGATTAGGTTTTAAATCACAGTTTTCCTCTCTTTCCAATTTTAACTCCCTCATAGCTTCTATCACTTTCTGCTGCTTATTAGATCTAATTTTGAATAGTAATTCATTCAGCAACATTTACTGAGCACTCAGTATATGCTAGACAGTCTGGTATAATGAAAAGAACATGAGCTTTACATTCAGACCTGGATTGAATTTTGGAACAGCTTTGTCAGCTTGCCAAATTCTTCAGCCTCTGTGAGTCTAACCTTTCACAGTGCCTGGCATGTGGCAAGCACTCAGTGAATGTTATAGTACAAGTCATTCTTCTCCTCCAGCCCAGTGTTATTCCAGCACTCTTAGAGTATACTTTTTTTTTTTTTTAAAGAAATAGACATGTAACAAATAATACCTGGTGATAAGTGTTATTGGGGGTATTATAGGGAGCCTGTAAGAAACTATAAGTACTTCTTGGGGCAATCAAGGAATTATATGCAGAAGAGACTACTGAATGTTCATAATCTCTCTGAGGGCAGGGACTATATAACTTTTGTAATTCAATGTGCTTTGCACATAGAAAGTGCTCAAGAAATGTTTATGGAATTGTGTAAGCCTTTTAACTTTCATATCTTTAGTGTGTGACTTTCTTGGAGAGAAGATTGCATCTGTTTTGGGCATTAGCACCCCAAAATACCAGTATGCCATTGATGAGTATTACCGGATGAAGAAAGAGGTATGTCTCCTTTTTACATTTTCTTGATTCAGTTTGCTTTGCTGTGGGCTTGATGGGTTGTATAACAAACACAAGTATCCTCTAGGTACCCAAAAGAGCTCCCTTACACTAGGCATTTTATTCCAGAATCATTAGTTTGTCAAATTAGGATATAGAATTTTTTAATACTGAAATTTCTCTAGGATCTATGTGTAAAATTATGCTATATTCCATTGTGCTAGGTGCTATGGGAGATGCCTTATATGTGTTATTAATCTTCACCTCCCTCTGGATTATTATTCCAATTTTAAGATGAGGAAACAAAACCCAGTCTTTGTACTTAGGACACATAGATTGAATGTAGAAGTAGAATGAGTTTGACACAGAGAAAATTACAAGTACTAGAAGTGTGTGTCAATTGTTGGTTGAGGCACAAAGACGTGAGGCAATTCTGTCTGTAGTGAGGTCTTAGGGTAGGGGTGAAAAGAGTTTAGCCTTAAACAATGAGAAAGCTATAGCACTTAAGAGCAGGGGCCCAAGAACCAAAGGCTCTGAATTCAAATTCTGGCTCTGCCACTTCTAACTTTGTACTTTAGGCTAGATACCTAACCTCCATAAGTCTCAGTTTCCTCATCTTTATAATGAGGAAAATTGCAGCATCCATGCACAGGGGTTGTTCTAAGGATGAAATAAGTTAATATGTAAAATAGAACAGCACCTATTATTTATTGGTGAACATGAAATATTAGAATCTTTTATTCTTCTTTCAGCAAATGAGGGCAATTCAGATAAAGTTAGAATATAGAGGCATGAAGATACGTTGTGTTTAGGGAAATGGAAAGAATACTACTGTATTGTCACTGGAGCATAGAGAGTACAACAGGGGTGTGGCTAGAGATGAATCTGGAAAGGTCAGCTGACTTTATGTGGCTTTTCAAAAATAAACGCGTTTCTATTATCATGACCAGCCTTGTTTAGAGCCTCACTGCCCCTTTGTGACAATTGTAATGGCCTCCCTAATAGTCTTCCTCATTCACTTTCAAACAAGCTCTAGATTAATCTTCCTGACGGGTTACTCACTCTCTACCGTCTGCTCATACTGCAGGGACCAATACAAATGCCATCTCCTCCTTCTGGAACTAGAAGTTATTTACCTTTTTAAATCTCTATAGTACTTTTTTTTGTCTTCATGCTATTTTTTACATGTTTTAATTTTCTTCCTAGACTGTAAACTTTTTGAGGCCAGGGACTGCCTTATCTGTATACCAAGTTCTTACGGGAACACTAACCATGCTACGCCATTTAGTGTATAGACCACCCTATTCCACTGAATGGACCAACACCTTATGATTGAAGTGATATAGTATTAGCTAATTTTTAAATTTAGATTAGAATCCGAAAAGATATAGCCTATCAAATTTAAACATGCTGTATCATGTTTTAAAAATAACGTCACTTTTCTTAAAATGTTATACAGTAGTTTTCAATTTGGAAATGGGGACGTATGGCTTAATTAGACCAAATTGAATTGTACATGATACTGTTTTGGTTAAAAAAAAAAGCACAAGCTGTTGAAAATGAGGGAACAAGTATTATTCCTTTGGGGCATTTCTATTTCAATTTTCTTGATATTTCCTCTTTTTAGGAAGAAGAAGATGACGACGAAAACAGGATGTCTGAAGAAGCAGAAAGACAATACCAACAGAATAAGCTACAGGCTGATTCCATTGTTCAGACAGATCAGCCAGAAACAGTGGTATCCACTTCATTTGTGAATCTCAATTTTGAAATGGAGGGAGATTGTGAAGTAATAACAGAAAGCAAACAAAATCCAGTCTCTGTCCCACCATAGAATGAAATGACTATCAAACTTCAAACTCTAAGGTGGTTTTTATACCAGGAACTTTCACATTCTCTATTCAGTGGGACTTAATACAGTTATTTATATTTTAAATTATCTGGAAAGGGAAAGATGTTTCTTTATTCTTAGATCTATTTAGCAAAAGTCAGATCTGAAATTAGGAATATTTGTACCATGCTTTTATTGTGTATCATATTAGTGCTTTGGTTTTAAAATCTTTTTAAAAAGTTGACATTTTAGAGCCCTGCCGATTAAGAAGAGTTAAATTATCACAGCTGTCTGTGTTTGTAAGGAAAAAAAAATAGGTAAGTTGCTGATTAAGGCTGATTGAAACTGATAATCCTATTCTGATTAAAATGTGTTTTTCCCCTAGGTTTTCTCATGATATGTCTTACATTTATATACTAACCATTAATTTCATAATTAAGGATGGTTCACTGAGTGTAATAAAAAGAACAAGATAAAAGCACTTTGAATTTTCTTTCCTTGAGAATCACTATTTTATGGAAAGGTGATTGAGTTTATAACACCAAATATTAAGATGTTTCTATTTTTTAAAGTAGGTTACTTAATCTTGTATTTTCAGTAGTTATTCAAATTCACTGCTTTGAACATGTTAAAAACACTATTGAATGAATTTATTAATATATTTGTATTCAAGTGGTAATAACACCTAGTGATTTTCCACATGGTATCCTAGTTGTGTCACTCATTCAGCTCTCAGTGCCTCCTATGGGTCAGATAGTTGTGGGGAGGAGAGTAGAACTGGGGACAGATGAAGACTTAACCCTTTAGGGGCTCACTGTTAAATATTGTACAAGGTGCGGTGGTAGCATAATTAAGGTACTTGTCATTCACCACTTCAAAATAACAACAGTAAAGTTTCCTTGACCCGGGTTGGCCATCTCTCTACCCACTGTGCTATTAGCCAACCTTCCAACAGTATGGGATAAACTAATTTTGAAAATATTCTTAAATATGTTCAGAATCTTATGAGGTATCTGTATGACTTCACTTTATACCTAACGTGGGTAAGAATGTGCGGCATATTTCAGATGCTGCTGCTCTTAAAAGCCTGTTCACAAACTTAGAGCTTTGAAAGATTGTTTATAGCCTTCTAAACAGCATGAAGCTTAAATGTATCTATATTAAATACAAAGAAACTCACAACAGGTACAGTTGGCCTATTATGGACCACTGTTATTAATGAACGTGAACATCTGGCCACTAAGTTCAGTGGCCACTGGAGCTACTAGATCTAAAAGAGAAAACTAGAAACTTTTCTGATTGTAGTATAAAGAAGATAATGACTTATTAAGGTATTATATTTCTTGAATTTTACTTTCTCTACTTGTCAAACAGTGGCGAGTTTGTAATGTTTATTATAGTGATTCACTGTGCCTTAAATTTTTATATTTTTATTTATGCAAACTAAAATTTCCCATAAATGCATTAAATTGTTTTGTCTTATTTTTAAGCCTCTTTCAGTTTTTCTTCCTTTCAACCCTCTTAATATTTACTGTTCTCTCTGGATCATAGTTGATAAAATTCTTATCTTCTTCTAATCTTTCATTTTGTTAAATCATAACAGTATAATTGAGAATCTTTACAGTGAATTAACAAAATGGAGTTTAGTTTTATAAAATGTAATCCTGATACTGATTAACAAAACTAGACAAATTTTTTTACCAATGATTTTAATTAAAGTAAAATATTAACTTGAATATTTTATTGAAACATCCTATTAAAAGAAACACATCTAAACATTTCTAACCCCAAAATAAAATGGCTTTAAAAATGGGGAAGTCTATAATCTTTGATATATATACTTTAGTAAAAGACTCAAGGTTAAATGACATTTATAATTTAAACTATCCTTCAAATATTCAAATTCCTAATGACTCATGTCAGAAATATTCCATGAAAACTTCCTTTATTTCTAAAGATTACACAATTAAAGTGGTCTCCTGCCTTGACCAAATCACACTTGCCATATTTGAGCTAAGTGGAACCAAATTTACCAATTTGGTCCTATTGCTTCCGAATGATTAATTCTGATAACGAGGACATTTGTTGTGTTCTACAGGCTTGAAGTGTTTTATTTAGACCATTTCTAAGGATTCTGCCTCAAAGATTTTACATGCAGCACTCAAGCTTATCTTAATGAATACAGTCTAGTCTTTGAGAGATCATGTATCATCAAGCTCTGCAGAGTTTTCATTGTCATTTGCAACAAGGGCTTCTCTGTTCTCATAAGTCCAAAAGCCATTCAGATCAATTAGAATGGTGGTGACTGTGTCTCCCTGATTACTGTTTATTAAATCCTGAAGAGAGATTTTCAAAGGATCTTTTGGTTTTACCATGTCAAAGATTTCATCCTGCAAGAGAAAAAAATCCAATGAAACAGATTTCTAATTCACTTAATTTCTATCACACAGCGACCTAAAATTCAGGGCTGGCACTAGAACTTATGTAAAATTTTTTGTTCCAGTTTTTTTTTTGCCATTCAGCAGAAAGGCAGTCTCCTTTTCTCTGTGTACAATCACAGAATTTTATTGGAAGATTCATTAGGGCTGTGATAATTATCCCTCAGAGAAGAAGAAATGGTGGCTCGGAATTTAATTCAAGGTACATACCTAATTAATAGCTAAACTAGTAGTGTTATATGTTATGTTAACTAACTACTTATACTTTTCTGATGGTGGTAGTGAAGCAAAGCCTTGATTTAATTTAAGTGCAAACTCAGTTCAAAGTAAAAACTTAAATGCTTAAGAGCCAAGATTACAACAGAACTTCACTTCCAATATTGATGTCAACCTCTAGACCATACTAATTCTTTGGTATTAAGAATTAGTCATCCAGAGTGACACTAAATTGTGCTAAAATTTACTGGAATAGATGGAAGAACCTCTTCTATATTGTGAAGTGTACTATATGAATGCTTACAAGGAATTAGTACATGTTTTCTAATCTTTTTGTATTAAAATTACTGAAAGTAGTAGTAGCATTTAAGGAGGCAAATTACATTTTTAAAAGAACAATTCAGGTAAATGAAATTTATGAACTTTTTATATGTTCGTGAAACTTCCTTTTCTAGATTGGTGGCAGTTTAAAATTAATAAGTTGCTTGTTGTGTAGTTTAATATTTGCCTCATTTATATTAAACTAAAAATAGCCATTTATCTTATTTGGTTAAAATTGGGTTATTTTATTACATTATTCAACTTGAACCTGACAGTACTGGATACTCAGTGTTTTTCATAGCTGGTGAAAGTCTCAATATTAAAATGCTAAGTAGCAGCATGTGTTCCAAAAGTAGGAGACTAAAAAAAAGGCCCCAACCTAAATAGTTCCCAAGTTAAAAATTCAGTTTATAGTGGAACAGATTGCCAAAGGATGTATGCTATATTGATTCTCTTAATTTTCAAAAGAATGAATGCTTTCAATTAGAACACAAGGGTGACAATGCTGAAATCAAATTAGAAAAATCATTAGTCTAACTGCGGTCTAAGTTTCTAATCCTTGATTTGGTTCAGTACTTTATAGTTCATAAGTTGCTTTCATATAAAATTTCATTTACTGCAAATGATTATCTGATATCATATAAATTAAAGGAAAAAGTTAACCTTGACATCTTGAAATGAAACAGGATCTTGTCCGTGGATTTTCATTAGTTCCTGTATAGCCTGCATTTAGTAGAAATAAATTTGTAAATAAAAAATATATACAAGTCTCCCCTAGCCCCGTCCCATGGCCCCTTTATAGTTCTACTTCCTTTTCTTTCTGGTCACAAGCCTCATCATTTTCACCAGTCTTACTAATATTCTCAACTTCCTTGACCTTGCTTCATACCTAACTCAGAAAAGCCTAAACACCGGACCAGTGTAACCATCGACCTTTCTAGACCTACACGTTAGCTATTGAGAGCTTTAGAAAAAAAGTGTACAAGACTATACACAGATTACTGCTACTACATAAAAATGGTCTCCAATCTTAGATGAGCCTTCTTTTTTTCAACTCAAGAACAGCCAATCAGATGACCCTTTAACGTGAGCTAGCAAATGACCTCCTCCTCCCATTTTCCAGGAACACTGTTTATACCTTCACCATTCTTTAAGACACCCAATCCACCACCTCCCCTCCCACCCTATACTTTGCCTTCTACTTGACAGAAAAAAAATAGAGGTAAATTCCCCCTGAATTCCTCTTTTAAAACTTCAACAAAGTACTGAAGAAAATACAGTTGACTCTTGAACACTCAGGGGTTAAAGACACCAACCTCCCATGCAGTAGAAAATCCAAGTATAACTTTTGACTCTCCCAAAACTTAACTACTGATAGCCTGCTGTTGACCAGAAGATTTACCAATAACATAAACATTTGATTAACATACTATGTGTTATGTGTATTATATACTGTAGAGTAAGCTAGGAAAAAAATGTTAAAACCATAAGAGAAAATATATTTATTGTACTGTACTGTATCGATATAGGTTTGTCATCTGTTTATAAGATGAATTATCTGTTAGTGCCTACATCAACATTGTTTTATATGATACAAAACACTGTGGATGTTATTTATATACGTATCACCAACACTAGACATCAAAAATGAAAATGCGGTTTGAAAAATTCATATTTTTAGGTATAATGATTCACATCGATAACGAAGCAGCAGCAATACGATTGCTTTATGGTAGCCTAGTATAACAGATAGGATTGCTTGATGGTAGTAAGGAAATCTCCCAAAACACTTCCAATATATTTACTGCAAAAATTCTGCATGTAAGTGGACCCACACAATTCAAACCTGTGTTGTTCAAGGGTCCAACTGTATGGTGATCCAGCTGGACAAATAAAATTTTAGGTGACAGTCATTCGCTGGAAAAAATGAAGCTGAAAATTCTTGGTAAAAAGTCAACTAAATATGTTCTAAGTGCCAACTCTGTATATGGCCAGAGTGTACCACCCAGACCCAGCTCTATCACTGGGATATGGATGTACAGAGGCTCTATGAAGAGCCCAGGACTGCAGGGTTCTCAGCACCAGTAACTTTTTCCTTAGCCAATACAACCAAGCCTAAATAAACTTTGATAAAATAAATGCATGTACAAGATTTTCAGTGTATTTAATAAATAAAATTTAACACTCAAAGTAGAAGATACTATAAAGAAATCTTTATGAAAAGAGGTTGAACATTTAATTACCAAAAGATATAGTTACTCTGTTTCCCTAAAACTGAATTTTCATTTAAGAGGTCTGCCTCAAGTGGGGGCATCCCTATAATGGGTTGGTATTATCTTTTCAGATTAGCCACTGATTTAAGCCCATTTTAAAAATGCAGCCTAATACTGGGATTGTAATTTATCTTAATATTTGCAGTCATTACTACCTAGATGATCATAATGGAAAGCTTTTTAAGGAATTTAACATGAAGTTATGAAATATGTACTATGAAACTCAAAAACTAGGTAAAGTTATAAGTACCAAAAAAGTTTGAAATGGAAAAGAAAAAACCTCTAGGAAAAAGTGGTTTATGATAAAGATGTGAAAATGTAATTTTTGTTGTTAAAAAAATTATTTCTTCCTACTATTGATCTTAACAATATAAAAATCACACAGTCTTCTAAAAGCTAGCTATAGAAATGTGGTGATGGAGTGGAAAACTACTGTACAAAACTACTCCATTAAGTAGAAAAGTCAACATTCAAATTGAAGAATGATTGGTCTTGAAGGGGCTTTTATACCCACTGCATCTGGATACTTATCAGATAAGATACAATAAAATTCCACTACAGACCTCATGTTATTCACTGAGACCAACTAAGACACAAATTAACTACTTCAGCAATCTATTTCACAGTAAAATGCAGCACACACTGGTAGCCAGTTTTCAAGTTATTTTTACTTATTTTTTGCAGCATAGCAATTAAAAGAATTTATAATTGCCAAAGTCTACAAACTCTTATGGAAAGGAGCTACCTTTTCTGAACTGTTTATTTAATGCTTTGTGATTGTACACACTAGTTTTTGATCACAAAAAGCACAGGATTTCTCACAGATGTTTTTATCTGCATTGGCTAGTATAGCCCCTGACATATTTACACATTTTTTTAGTATTCGATATCTAATCAAATCAGCATTGATTTAGCCCATTTATATTTTTAAAAAACAGGACAACAAAATTAAAAACAGACTTGATTTCCTTCTGAAATCTGTTACGTAAATCCTTTTGTTGAATTTAGATATCACAAGTTAGGTAAAATTATCAGTGAGTAGGTAGTTTAGACCAAATGGTATAACATATCTTAAGGAACAATGACTCATTTACACAATGAGACTTACCCGAAAGAAGTAATTAAGGGAAAAGACATTCAGATATCCTTTGTTTTCAATATCAAGCAATTTGAAAATATATTGCAGAGCTGCAGGTTCTTTTCGGTTTTCTAATGCAAGAACAAAATCCAGGTAGGTCTTATAGTCCTATAGAAAAGAAAATGTTCTTTACAGGCCTTATTTGGAATTAACTTTTCAAGTGAGTATCTGATGAAGCTATTTTGCAGTCAAAGGTGTCAAGTTATTTTTAATATGAAATGAGAAACCTATTTGTATACTTAATGTTGGTTGCTAGGAATTCTTTGTAGCAGTTAATCTCTACAGGAGTGTTCGGGGCACAGTTCATTTTCTTATGAGAGAAATTTGCTGTGTTAAACCATAATTTTCTTTTACTATGCTTTTAAAATTGACAAAACAGTGACTAAGCTATCATACATTGCCACTAAATTTATATCTTCATTTCAGTGTGGTCGTTTTGAGAAAAAAGTTTATCTGGAATGAAAAGAATATATTTAAATAGCTGTTTGGAAATATTGTTTAAAAGTTTTAAATCTAGTCACAGATTACTTTTTTTGCATAGTGAAAAGAAGTAAAATACTTGGGAGAGTCACTTAGAAGAGTTTATAGTCTTGGAAAGATTTTTTAAGTCTAAGATTAAGAATTCCTTTCTGCATAAATTATAGCATAAAGAGCTTGAGAGCTGTGGCTTCATCATGGTCTAACTCCATGCACAGATGTAGCTTCTGATTTTCTTTATTCTCCAGAAGTCAATATAAGCTCACTGTCTACAGTAGTCAGCTGTGGGACTCATGAAAGCTTCTGCGCCTTTTCTCCCTTTACCTTTTCATTTGGTTAATAATGGTGTTATTTAGAAAACTACTATCAAAGCTAAATGATAAAACCTAGAACCCTGATTCTCTTCTAACAATATAAACATTTCTTAAGCATCATTGTTTGGAAAATTTGTCAGATCCTTAACACATTTTTAATAGCAAGAATGGTAATTTAAAAATACTATTTAGAATTTTCTTCTCAAGTATTTTGTGATAAAAGGACAGGTACATGTTAGTCAATCTTTAGCTACTAATATAGCCACTTAGCGTAATACAACCTGATTTCTAGATTTAATTCATAGCATATGTGGTACTGTATCTGACCTGGTAATTTAATGGATGAACCATCCACTGACTATATGAAAAGTTAATAGGATTTGCCAATTTTTCAGTTTTTATTTTACTAGTCCACAATCCTTTACATAGGTACACTGACAGTGAAATTAACAAAATATTAAATTTTCTATTTGCCCTAAGTCCATAAGGGAAGTAATGTTGTCAAACAAATTTACTTTAAGATTAAAGGCTCCAAATCTCAAGTAATTTGATCAGTTCACACATTAAGATACTGTTACACACTGATACAAAGATAATGCTGTATCACATGAAGAAAAAGGGAAATTGTGGGAGCCTAAATTCTTAAAGCTTATTAGCTTTAAACTACTACCATTTCTCCATCATAAGTAAGACACTCCTGGAAAACACGGTCTAAGAAGACATTGGTCATGGTTGCTGTTCCATAGCGGGAGAGTTCTTCTTTACTGAGCATGCCATTGTGATCCTTATCAAGATTCAAATACTGGCCTTGGAAGAAAGATGATAAAAAGACACTTATGACCAAATAAAATTCTAATTAAAAGACAAAAGAATATATCCTAACTAAAAGTTCTTTTTATTGGTTAATATTTTGATTGTTAGTGCTCCTAATGTCAGCTATTCATGCAATCTATATCAGAACAACTGTCAAGCCAGAACCAGTCCAAGAAAACCCATCATGAAGGCCATGGCCTTTGGGCTATTTCTCTACCATCATTATTTGCTTTCAGTTTGCAACCTTTTAGAACTTTCCTAGGATTCTAAATTAGATGGCAGTACAAGTCAACAAAAAGCACTGAAATGCTGGCACTTGAAAGAAGTCAAGGATGCCAAAATGAGTCAAGACTCCCAATAAAATAATGTAATAGACTAATGAAATTTAAGAAAAGAGAAACCAGGCTCTAGAACACCGTCCTCTGTGGACCCTAAGAGCAGCATTTCATCACAATGCAAGACCTATGAACATATTTGATGTTCATAATCATACTTATGAGTCAACAAGGAAGGATCAAATTACATTCTGTCTTCTATCAAAAAGAATAGTAACTGAAGAGTTACAAAAATTTAAAACATTAGTATTTAAAAAGTAAATTTTAGTAATCTAGAATACTTCAATCTTACAGTAAATTAGCCTATGTATAATGTCCTTTGAACACTAATTAACTAAGGAATGGATAATTCAAATTTCAGCATTATAATAGGAACATACCATATACCCTTAGGGCAGAAGGAGCAGAAAACCAATTTGTTTCTTGACTCTCCTTGGACAGTTCCTCATCCCTTAACTGAATGAACACACAGACATCATTAGAAGGTAGCAACTGTCAAGTGATATAAAAGTAGTTAAAAAACATATTTACCTCCAATAAATCATCTAAGAAGCTGCATGCTAAAATATCTTGAATTTTTATCTTCCCTTTAAACAACATAAAGAAATATAATTACTTAACTGTATTCTAAAAATAAGAGCAACTCAATTTTATAAAGGCATTTTAAGAAAAACAATCACACAATTGATATTTTAAAGCTTCCTAACTCTTATGCTCCAAAGTCTATTATATATTGCTTTGAAAAGGGAAATGTGCAGGGAATGTTTACTAAAATCTCTACCTCTTAGGTCTACCTATATACCCCCAACAATTTAAACCCAATCGGTAAATTCTTTCCATAATTGCATTGATACCAGATTCCCCAAAAAGTTGTTGAGTATTTTGTGGATATGGATACGATACTGCTAGTAATCAAAAAAAGAGACTCCATTTTCCTTTGGTACGTTCTGGAACAGGAAGCAATATAGAGACATGGTTAAGAGCAGATAGATGGGAACTTAAATGACACTTCTAGATACATAATCTAAGTCTCCGAGACTCACACATTAAATATGGATAATAGTAATATTTTCCTTATGGAGTTATGAGAAGGAAATGAAAGATTAATTTATAATGCTTAACAATACCTAGTACATAATATATAGTCAAAATTTTTATTATTTTGTAAAGTTTGAAGAGAAAACGTGTATGTGTCTATAATGGAGGTGCTTAAAAAGGATTGTCAACCACCACGTACTGTGATGGACTCATAGCTGGATTTTCAAGGATAGGAGAACCAAGGATTTTGATCTAGGCCTTCTTTCCCATTCTCTGCCCCAGTTACAAGTATTAAAGTCTCACAGGTTAGAACAGTTGATAAAATGTACTACTGTTAATGAGGCTAAATTTACTCATCTGATCCTCATATAGAGTACTTAACTTGAGAAAGAAAAACACATCGTGGCTAAATAGTTCTGCTATCTCCCAATTCATATTTTTCATCAAAAAGAACAATTCTCTAATATATTACATATCAGGGATAGCAAAATAACTGGCTTCTCAGAACTAGAAAGAGCCATAGATTGCTGAGGTCATACTTCATTTTAGAGATGAAGAAACTATAACAGGTTAAGTGACATGCCCACTATCACACAGCTGGTTATGGCTGATGCAAGTAAATCATAACATCTTTATATATTAATGGCAATAACATGTTATGAAAATAAAAAATGACATTTTTCAAGACTTTTCTCTAGTTATTGAGATTTAAAAGTAATAATATCCTCATAATATCTAAGATACAATTTTCTTTTACCTGTTCTTAGAGGATCTAAAAAGAAGAAGAATTTCCTAACTGCTGTACAAACATAAAAGGAGTAAAAAGATTTTTCCAGCCCATCTAATTGTGGCAAAGTAGGGATAAGTTCCAATATGTAGTTTTCTAAATCCTGAAAGAAAACAATAAAATTTTAAAGTGTTAAATGGCTGATCTTGTTTTTTCATAAATACTGGAATATAATTTGTCCTAAAAATTATTCAGCATTAATACTATATTAATGATAAAATAAATTCATAACTAGCTTAGTAAAACTATTTTATATTAAATTTATTTCTACTTTGTATTTAAATTTTAACATCATTTTGAATAGGTAATACATTCTAGATTCAAAAGGAACAAAAAAGTATTCATTGAAAAGTCTCCCTCTCGCCTACTTCCTCTCCACGGAGGTAACCTAAATTATCAGTTTCTGATGTACCTTTCCAAAGGTAACTGATAAACATACAAGCCACCACATGTATATTTCCTTTCCTCTTTTACACAGGATATAGCAGCATACCATGCTAATTCTTCTGTATCTTGCTTTTATTGCTTAACACTATACTTTGCAGTCATTCTATATTGGCTCTCAAAGAGCTTCTACTTAAAAAAAAATAACTATTATTTCAGATGTACCATAATCTACTTAGTCTTCTATTGATGGATATTTAGGTTGTTTCTACTCTTTTACAACACTAAAAACAATACTATAGGGGCTAAGCAAATTTTTCATTCATAGATATGGAAGAATATAGGATATAATTTCCGTTAAGTAAAACTGCTGGGTCAAAGCATATACACATTTATAATTTTGATAGACATTAGCAAACTCCTCACCTCCCCACATCCATTTTACACTCCCACCATCACTGTGAAGGGTCTATCAACAGTCCCCAAATTGTGCCCTAGGAGTGCTAAACTCATAGGGGGTACAGCAGGGTATCTTACATTTTTGAGGGAAACATTGCAACATCTGTCAGACACTGCATAAGCTATGTTGAGTTCAAGATAGTTTACATTTTAATGTTAGTTTGAAATATATATTTTTTGATGACATCAATCTTAGCAAAGATAGGTTCTTAGTGTTTGCTGTAATAAAGCAAGTACTACACAAAAATCCGTGTGAAAGAAGAACAGAGGATGACTGTCCAATCTAATTCCCTGGTGAGCAGCTACTCAGTGAGCTCTGGGCACACACACTCCACTAGTAATTGTTATTTAAGAATGAAGTAAAAAGATTTTTAAATTTTTATGTATTTTTTCAAATGGCTAATAGGGTAAGTTTCATGAATACTTGCATTAAATTGTTTAGAATTAGTTAATAAATGGAACTGTTACATATTCCTTTTGGCCCAGAGGCACTATGAAAAAATTACTAATTCAGGTCCTTAATCCATTTTGAGTTAATCTGGGTGTGTGGTGATAGACAACAGTCTAGTTTCATTCTTTTGCAGGTGGCTTTTCAGTTTTCCCAGCACCAGTTTTTGAAGAGGCTTTCCTTTCTCCACTGTATGTTTTTGGCTCCTTTGTTGAAAATTATTTGCCCATATAAACAAGGGTTTACTTCTGGACTCTCAATGTGGTTTTACTGGTCTCTGTGTTTTTCTGCCAATACTATGCCATTTTGATTATTGTTGCTTTATAGTATAATCTGAAGTCAGGCAGAGTGATGCCTCCAGCCTTTTTTTTTCTCAAGATGGCTTTGGCGATTCGGGGTCTTTTGTGCTTCCATACAAGTCTGATGATTTTTTGTTCTATTTATTTAAAAACTGCCGATGAGATTTTGGTGGGGATTGCACTAAATCTGTATAATGCTGTAGAAAATAAGGTCTTTTTAACTCTGTTGATTCTTCTAATCCAAGAACAGGGAACATCTTTTCATTCCTTTGTATCTTCTTCAATTTCTTTTAACAGTCTTAGTTTTCATTATATAGGTCCTTCTCATGTTTTGTTAGGTTGATTCCTAGGTATTTTATTTTTTGTTGCCATTACAAATGTAATTTTTTTCACCTCTTTTTCTGCCAATTCATTATTATAGGATTGCTATGGATTTTTGAACATTGATTTTTGTATCCTGAAAACTACTCTTTTAAACACAACTAGAGACATACTATTGCTTTTCTCTCTCTTCCCTTCACTCCTTTTTCAATTTTTGTTTCCATTCATGCCAATAAGCAAGAAAAGGGAAGTGTGTTTTGTAAACCAACTAACTGCTGATGAGAATTCTCATAGCTACAGAAGTACTGCAATTCTGATCTGAGTAACTATCAACAGGTGGCTAATATGTCTTCCTTGTTAGAGAGAGATGGATAGAAGTAAGAACCTTTTATTGTCAAGTTGATCTGAACCTTAAAATTCAAGAATTGTACTGTGTCTATAGAAGGGTTTTTAAGTATAAATGTTCAGTGTGAGCTAACAGATTCTATCTACAGACTGCAACAAATAACAGGAAACAAACTATAACAGTATTTGTCTTTAAATCTTATATTTGAGTGTTCGCTTCGGCAGCATATATACTAAATCTTGTATTTGAATATTTATGTAAGTGATTAATTAACCTGGTTCATATTTATGCCTAACTCCCTTCCCCCTTTTCTGATAAACCTAAAAAGGACTCCATATTTGGGAAAAAAGTCTGAGCTGAAAAGAAGCATGTCCATATAATTTAAATAGCCACACTTCCACAAAGCATAGCCATTTAGATCATGAGGCTATGATTCTCTGTTGATAACCTGGCCTAACTATGTTAATACCTAATGGGAAATAAACAGCCTCTTGGTAACTGACAGTACAACCTAAATGGTCACATTATTTTTCTCTTATATATTTCCTAAAAGAGAAAAAATTTCTGGCCTTTACATTTTCAAACAGTCACACACTAATAACACTCACAAATAACTAAAAGTTTTACAGTTTCTTCAATGATTTTTAATCCTATTAAAGCAGTACATTCTTATTTTCTCCTTTAAAAGGCTTTTTTTTTAAAGGCTGGAGAAAATCTAAAAAGGAATTTTTGTGGTCAATATATATTTTAAAAGTTTTTTAGTACCTCATGTTATTTGTAAAAACAAACAAAAATGCAGAAACAAAAAAAATAAGAATCATCTGCAATCCCAACACCTAGTGATAACTACTGTTAACATTTTGATGTCTATAATAGTTATTAAAATAGGTTAATACTTACAGATTCCCGAAGGTACCCCTGTCCTGCAACATCATATAAACTGAGTCCTATCCTTGTTTGATGAAGCCAAACTGCCAATAAACAAGAAAATTAAATATAATTATTAAGAGCTATCCTTTAGCATATATATGAACAAAAGGAGATAAAGAGCTAGATTAGAGGGACAAGCTAATCTAATAGCTCTATGAACATTTTTATTCTCACATATATTACTTATTCATTAACCCCAAAACTGTTAAAAACAAAACATACCATAGAATTAATGGCAGATATCAACAATTCTACCATGCCTAAAATGACAGTAAAGTTGATACTCATGAGGATATTGTTTTTCACTTATTAAACCTGGTGTTCCACCAGAGACAGAGAGTGTTAACATTATGCTTTCAATGAAGCTGCTTTTATTCTACTGAGATCCATTTCTGCAACCAATTATTAAAGATGGTACACATAGGACTTCACAGATCATTATGGAACTTCTAGGAATCATAACAATTCCAAGTTGTTTGGTAAAAACTTCTTGAATCTGATGCTACCATCATGAGTTTGAAACTGTCTTCTCAGGCAACTCAACCTGTAATCTATTGGTGAAACAAAACTACCAGTGAATTAAAATTATTTCAAATCACCATACATTAAAACTCTTGGTTCAGCTTCTGATATATCTAGTTAGCTAATATCTTTAGGATACATGGTTTTTGTTCTGTTGTTGTTTTTTTTCTTTTATAATAATGAACCCAAATTTATGGTAGAAAATTTCAGCTCTAAAAAGTTCCAAAAGAGAATCATAACAAGAAAACAAATCTTGGTCAAAAGACAAGAAATTACACTATTTAAACTTACTAAGAGAGTTGTTTCATATGGAAAGGATACTATGAAAACACAGACAAAACCTACTTGATTCCCAGATAGGAGTTCAAACAGAATGAAAATTAAATCACCTTTTCTCATGACATAATTAAAGAACTGCATGATAGAAATTCTTCCATAAGAATCTGTATGAAGGAGTTTAGCAAAGACTTTTGCTGTGAAAAATTGCCTAAGGAGAGGAAATAAAGATTAAAATCATCTGCCAACATAGCATAAAAATGACTTCTACATGAATTAGCAAACAGCATAAATTCAAACAACTAAAAATCAAAGTGGTGAAAAAAATCAAAGTGATAACTATAGTTCAAAACTTAAAATATTAAGTCATAAACCTTTGCATTCTATTGTCTTAAGAATGAAGGCCCACAGTGTTGTAAATAGACCATATTGTTTATTTTAATAACTTCATACCAATGTAATTTTCTTGACTAATTTTATTAAACTTCATTAGTGACTCAAAGTGTCATACCATTGACTTAAATTTTCATTAACATTTATTTGAGGCATTTAAAATGCTTACTGTAACATACTTTGTTAAATATATTATTCTTACTTGCACTTTGGTCCAGCTTTTTCACCAACTTTCAAAAAATTTTCATAATTAATCATTGCTTCCTCTCCAATCATAGGTGGTGTCTGGTGCTTGTCCAGCAAAAACCATAAGTTCTTAGAAGAATTGCAGAAATGGAGATGTTATAATTAACAGAACAAAACTTAAAAAGTAGTTAAATGTTTACATTAAAATGATAGTCTGATAGTAGAGTTAATATTAAGATGAATCTCATTCCTATTTTCCTTTGATTACTAAATACATAATAAAAATGGACATATAGTACCTCTTTAATCCATATAACTATATACTGTAGATACTGTTGTCCCTACTTTATAGATGAGAATTGAAGCACAGAAATGTTAAGTCCATTGCCCAACATCACAAAGCAGAGCAGGGATTTGAACCCCTGCAGTCTGACCCTACGGTAGTGGTTCTCAACTTCAGCCTCACATTTCAATCACCTGGGGACTTTAAAAAAACAAAAACTATCCTTGGAAGATGGGCCCATGCAAGCTCTGCAGCTGATTCTGGTGGGAACCCTCTGTCTAGAGCCGGTGCTTTCACCCACTCTACAGTTCTCACTCCATTAAGGCACCCTGAGATCCTATATGACATAATTATTACAAATAAGAAATGGCTAACATCCATTTTTACCTGTAATTCTTCATTATCTAACAGCTCTCTGCTTTTCCTTTGCAGAAAGACAGCTCTAGATTCTTCTCTTAATTTCTGTAGTAAGACTTCATCTTCAGCTGGCAGCTAAAAATACATTGTGGAATTAATTTCTACACTTAAATTCTAGATTATTGGATTATGTAAAATGTATTTGGCCTCACAAAATAACTATGTATTACGCTGCCTCAAATTACTTTTTGTATCTCAATTTTGCTTAACTTCAAGTCATCATTCATTTGAAAAGTTCATTTAACAAAAAGAGATCCACAGACAATTCAATTATCAGCAAGGCCAGATGCCTGTCCAAATAAAGCTAGCGATCTGGTCCAAGTTTCATTTTTTATTCTTAGAGCACTGTTTCCACTGTAACCTTAGACTGATATAGAATTAAATTAGGACTAGTTAATGACTGACAGTCTTAGCAAAGTACTCCTTTTGAGACTGTATCACATTACTTGGAGATGGTCAAGCCAGTGTCTATTACTTTGGCCTCCAAGGCAGAGGGTCTGCCTATTGGGGTGATTTCCATAAATAGGGCTTTAAAATGACTCATTCCAACTCCACTTCAAATAATTTGCTTTGAGGATTTCTTTTTCCTTTTCTATACCTACGCCCCAATAAGTAGAGATAAGTAATCAGTAGTCCAAATCAGGGGTTATGGTTTTCACTTTTCATTTCCAAGAACTAAGATGTCATCCCTCCTATCAAAAGGAATGGAGAAGGAGGAAGCATTACAAGGTGAGGCTGGGCCGAGACAAGGATTGTGCTCCAGTTGTTAGTCAACCAACTAATCAGTCTGGGGGGATTACGCACATGGATGACAGGCGGTTTCTGTGAAGCAGTGGTGAGGAAGAAGAAACAAGGGAAAGAAGGTCTCATAGGTCCATTCAGCTAAAATTCCAAAATGAACTTTTCTATAGAGATTACATTTTACATAATACTAAATAGGTCTTATTATTTTCAGTAACCTTCAATTTCAGCTGTAAATAGCTGTTTTAATCTATAATCCTCTTCAAAGACTTCTTCATAGCTTTGGCACAGGAAACATAATTGAGTGTAATTCTTCAAGTTTTCCACTCTCAATCTATTTTTCAGTTCAGCCTTGAACAAAACATTTTATACTTTGTAACATAAAAAAAAAAAGTTAAAAATTGTGACCAGCTAAGTAAACCTAAGTCTTATAAAAAGCATGACGACATAATCCAATAGAATACCTACTACTAACATCCATAATAAAAATTAGGAAGAAAAATCTATGGCTCAATATATGATTCTTATCCCATTTAAAAAATTACATTTTATTTATAAACTCTGCAAGACATTTGCTTAGATGCCACTTACCCTATAATAAAACCGGGGAATGGTCTTATAGAATTCATTTGTGTTTTTTCTACCTCCTTTCCATTCTGAGTAATATTTGGTAAATAAATCCATTTCTTCATCTTTTAACTCTTGTTCACTTTTTTTTTCTGGAGAAAAGGGGGGGAAAGCACTTTTAAAATCAAACAATACTTTTCTCAGGTCATCTACCTACTATAGTCTAATAACAGTGCAAAAAAGGCCTTCACAGTTGTGCTTAGACACTGAACATCTATATGAACTTCCCTGAAATACCAAGAATCACTATTTTCCACTAAAACAGCCTCCCCTGCATCTTCGACCACTCTAAGCTGCTCCCTCCACATTTTTTTTTTTATCACTATACTTGTCTCTTCCTCAAGTTACTGCCTTGCTTATAGACTTCTGGCATGTTCCTAATTCATTCAATCGAAAGTATATACCGAGCACCTACTGTGTACAGTGCACTTGCTGTACTAGATACTGGGACTGTAGTGGTGAGAAAGTAGGCACAGCCCTTGACCCCACAGAGTTTCGGCCTCCTAATCAGTGTTCCTCTACCTAATGCAAAACCCTTCCATTTTAAGCTCACACATCAGGATGCTATTACCCTCCAACCTGCTGGCACACAGCCGTCTCATTTAGCCATTCCTCCACACTTGTTCGTGGACCACGGTGACTGATGCACAACATTCTTCACCTTGATGTCTTGCAATCATCAAGAGAGAATAAACATTCATGTGGGTGACTATGACACCTCAACTCTGAAGGCTTTCACTTCTACTCTAATGCAGGGGTCTTCAATCCCCAGGCTGCGGACCGGTATCGGTCAGTGGCCTGTTAGGAAAGGGGCCGCAGAGCAGGAGGTGAGCAGTGGATCAGCAAGCAAAGTTTTGTCTGTATTTGCAGCCACTCCGCATCACTAGCATCACTAGCATCCACCTCAGATTATCAGGCATTAGATTCTCATAGGAGCACCGGTCCTTGGTGCCAAAAAGGTTGGGGACCAATGTTCTACTGTGTCACTCAGTTTCACGGCAAGACCACAGATCTTATCTGCTCCTCTTCTGAAATCTTAAACTCTAACATATACTCATAATTTCTCACTTTGATTATTCAAAACCTCACTGCTATCATATCTGTACTTCAGCCTCACTGAGATCTTCAATTCTATGATTATCTCAAAAGTTTATTTACTTCTTCCTAATCTCACTTCCCTCCTAATATGCCTATAGTTCTTCCCCTAAACTCCTCTTAAGCCATGTCAGCTTTTAAACTTTGGACCAATCTTATAATCTAATTTGCTCACTATGGCTTAATGCTGTTGGAGAAAACTGGAAAATTTTGGTCCCACAAATTTCATGGTTATGAATGCCAGCTTCTCAAAAATAGTAGTACCTATTTTATTTGCCCTTGATGTCCTCTTGCTTATTTCTCTTGGTGACTGACGACTCCAAACTGTCACTTCATTCCTCAAACCCCCGTGTTCACCCTCAACAGATGACAATCCCTCCCAGTTCATCGAAAACTGAGTCTACTGGGAATGGGTACCCATAAACATCTAAGTGGAGTGGGAGGACATGAGGTATCAAATAAATCTGCACCTTAATTTCTTCCTGTCATTTCAAGGGAAGAGGTATCTCTCTTCTCACTCAAGGCTAACCCCTCATTCTCCTGGGTGCTTAATCTCAGCTTTTGCAATTCTGTTCTTTCCTTCTCCTACCTTCTCTATTCAGTATCTTCAATTTCTTCATCTCTACTCGCTTTTAAGTTACACTAATACACTGAGGTCTCTCCCACTGCACCCTCCTGCCCAAAAAAACCTTCTTCCTTTCTACCTACTGCCACACATAACTCCTTCCTTTCTTATTCACTTTTTCAAACGAAAGCCTATGTTATCCCTGCTTTCTTACCTCTCATCCCCTCTTTATGCAATTTTGCTTCTACTCTTACCACTCTACAGAAACTGTTCTTCCCAGGGCAACCAATGACCTTATTGCTTAGTTTAATGGGCACACCTGTCCTTGATTTGTGTTAAATTTGATACTGTTGATGATTCTAAACTTTTCTCGGCTTTTATGAGACCACAATCTGTTGATTCTCCTATTTTCTGGCCAATTCTTTTTTATTAATCCTTCTTCCTCTATCATTTCATCTTTCATAGTTTAACTTCTAAATCCCAAACCTATGTCACTCTAGTGTTAAGTTGTTGAGGAGAAGAGGAAGAAAGAGCAAAGACTGAGAAGGGATGACTGGTGAGGAAGGAAGAAAACTAAGAGAGTATGTCTCCCAAAAAACCAAGAGCAGAAAGTATGTGTAGGAGATATAAGTGGAGCAGAGAAAAGAGGCATAGCTAGCGGTGGAACTTAAGAAAATCTTTTTAAAATTGGAGAAATACTAACAGGTTTATATGCTGATGAGAATGACTGAGAAAGAAAAATTGATGATGCAGGAGAGAGGGGATGACTACAGGAGTACATTCTTGAGTGGGCAAAAATGGGAACGAGCACAAAGGATAGGATCTAGCGCACCAATGAAGGAAACAGCCTTAAATAAAAGTGGTACAACCTATATGATTTACTTTTTATTTTATCATCTCTCTCAACATTAAAGTGTAAGTTCTACAAGGACGAGGATTTTTGTCTGTTTTGTTTACTGCTATGGCCTAGAACAGTCCTTGGCACATAACAGACGCAACAGAGTGGATTTAAGAGTGAAGGGGAAGAGAAAGCATAAGTAAAGGTAAATTGTTAAAAAAGTTTCCCTATAACAGGTGCAGAGAAATGCAGCAAAAGTTGGATGAGGATATGAGATCAAATGATTTTTTTTTTAAGATGGGAAATATTATAGCATGTTAGAGTGGATGGAAATGATTCAGTAGAAAAGGAAAATTTGATGATGCCTGAGAGAGAAGATAAGGCCAGAGTGAAGTCGATGAATAAATGAAGGGAACACATCTACTGTTAGAATAAAGGGACTTTCTCAAATAGGAGCATGGACAGTTCAATAGTGAAGAGTGTAGCGGCACCTATGGTGGGGGAAAGAGCTGATAGAAATGGTAAATAGGAACAGGTGAGGTTTTCTGATTGCCTCTACTTTCTCGAATACATATATAAAAGTTCATCAGCTGAAGGTTTGGGAGAATAATTGAGAAACCTGGCTCCAACTACCCTTCGATCCTACCAGAACCTATAATCCATTGATTCTACCGCCTTTTTACTATCACACTGCCTTAGATCGTAGGAGAGTGACTGTCTAGGTAAACACGAAAGAAGTGTAAACGAATGACTGAAAACACTTACTTTGGGTTAATGGCCATACATTAAAAGTGAGACACTGAACCGTGGTACCATTTTTCTCCAGCCACTTTCAGCTGCGCTGGGTGCAGGTGTGAAATAGGAAAGACGTTTTAACCAGGATGGTTAACAAGCAAGTATGAAGGAGGGAGAAAGGGGACAAGGAAAAATGGATTGTAAAATCTAAAATGGATAAGGAGGGAAGTGAAAAGTGTGATAGTAAAAAGGCGGTAGGATCAATGGATTATAGGTTCTGGTAGGATCGAAGGGTAGTTGGAGCCAGGTTTCTCAATTATTCTTCACAAGTCTAGGTCAAGACCATATACGTGAGCTGCTCTTTCCCGCAAATCTTTTCCCAGGGAAGTGTAGGTCAAACCTCTTTGGATCTCTAAACCACATTCCACTGTGCATGCTTTGTCAGGTTAGGTTTTATAGAAGCGGCAAGCGCGACTCCCAGTTGTTGCTCCTCCCATTCTCCCCCCACCTCTAGGAGTTAAGGGCCGGGCTATCTCTGTTAGAGACGGCCCCTCCCAGACTCACTGTTTGGTCCGGTGTTGGGCGTCGCTAACCGCCGGCGAAGAACTTCTTTCCAGTCCATAACTGACTCCCGCGCAGCAGCTCCAGCATTTGCTATTTACTAGCCGCTCCTCCCGCTACCGGCTCAGACGTCAAACACCGCCCAGCCCCGTGAAAGCTGGGCAAGCCACTCAACCGCCATCTTGGGCATGGGCGGAAGTCAGCTAAGGAGGCAGAAACGCTTACTGTAGCCCCTGCGGAGAATGCGGCGATCACACTAACAGCAGAGAAAGCAGACGTGAAAGAGAAAAATGATCCTCCTTAAGGCAGTCTCCCAACTTCACAACGCCTGATTTTAAAGGTGCAGAATAAGAAAGCCCGTGCTTGTTTTACATGTTGGGCCTCTGGCGCATGTGCATCACGTGACTGAGGAGTCCTTTGGCATTTCCGGCTCAAAGGAAGTGCTTTCTTATTTCTTCTCATTATTCGTTGCGGATATATGGACGCCTTAAAGGTTCCCCTGAATGTAGTAGATGCCTTCAGTAGCCGCCTCAGCTCCCTCCTGCCACTAAAAGCTTCAAAATCGCCTTTTCCTCGCCGCCAGGCCTAGCGGAACGCCTGCATCCAGCTCAGTCACGCCCCTACGGCTGGCACCGTCGCGGTGCATTGTGGACGCGGTAGTTTCCGCCGAGGTTATGGTTGCGTTTATTAAGCGTGATTGCTGGGTGAGTTGAATGGAGTTGAATGAAGTGGACTTCGTTTGCGAATAATCTGTACACTGTAGGCGGTGCTTTTCGCGGACACCACCGTTACCTGAGTTGTTGGCTCGGCTCTCTTCACCTCCTCCACCCCATCCCTTCATCTGACGTGTTTGGCGGTCTGGGGAGAATTGTAATGCAGGGCCAGGCCCCCTAGACTTTGGCTTTCGCCGCTTTCCTTACTGCTGGTGGCTCTTGGGTTGGGGCTCTTGGTCGCGGTTTTCAGCTTTACGCCCTTCCTTCAGCAAGGCTTCCGTGGGCTCCTGCTCCTTTTCAAGGACAGTTGTGACCCACGTGAGTCGAACTGGACGGTCTTCCTTGTGCTTTTTTCTCAGGTTAGCGGACAGGAATATAACGAGACCAGAGATACCTGCTCTATACCCTGGTTTGGCGGCTTGCGACCGAGATTGGATGTCCCCGGATCGAATCATCGTTTAATGGAGAAAACTCACCAAAATTAGTTGCTATTAAGTAGCCCCCAAAGCAGAGCCTTGATTTGTCTGAGAGAAACTAAAAATCTCTTTTTAAAAGTTAAGCTTCAACATTCAGCCCCCCATCCCCAAAGCCCTTAATTATGCTGTAGAGGTAGGGGGTTTTTGAACATCTCTCACTATCTTGTGCTGATCTCACTGCATAATGACTTTCTGTTTCACTGGTGTTCGAAGCTTTCCTAAGCTTTGGAAAAGCAACTCGTACCTTGGGTTATGCCCAGGACACTCTTATATGTCTCTCTTTCCCAAAGACTGTTATGGCATCAGGAACCAACACAAGTGGTTTTCTCTTAAAACAGCTTCTCCACAAAATACCAAAGCAACGAATCTGCCGATTGCCAAGGCCAGATATCGCAGGAAAGGAAATGAGAGCTGTAATAAGCAAGTTTCTCCTGAATCTTCTCATCTTTTTGCTGCTGGAGCGGCTAAGAAGAGAGCACAGATGAATCCTCAGAGTAAAGATCATGCCTTGCCACCTGTGAAGAACATTATTCAACTACCAACAAAACCTTTGAATTCAGAGGAGTGGGATAAACTTCAGGAAGATTTCAAAGGAAAAGCTAATTTTGAAGATTGGATCATTTCACAGATGGCTCACTACAATAGCTCTGTGGATGTAGCCAAATCTCTGCTAGCCTGGGTAGCTGCAAAAAACAATGGTATTGTAGGCTATAATTTGCTGGTCAAGTATTTGTATCTCTGTGTCTTTCATAAGCAGACATCAGAAGTTTTTGACATCTATGAAATCATGAAAGCCAGATACAAGAGTTTAGAATCTGGAGGGACCAGTCTTCTCATCCGGGGATTAATCCATTCAGACAGATGGAGAGAAGCCTTGCTTCTGTTAAAGGATATCAAAAAAGTCATGACCCCTTCAAAAAAGAACTATAATGACTGTATCCAAGGAGCTCTCCTTCATCAAGATGTAAACATAGCTTGGAATTTGTATCAGGAATTGTTATGTCAGGATCTTATTCCTATGATGGAAACTCTAAAAGCCTTCTTTGATTTTGGAAAAGGCATAAAAGATGATCAGTATTCAAACAAACTACTAGATATTCTTTTGTATCTAAGAAATAATCAGCTATATCCTGGGGAATCATTTGCACAGAGTATAAAAACATGGTTTGAAAGGTAATTTTGATTTTTTTGTATGTATGTTTGTATTTTAATACCTATAGCTTAAGTACTCTTTTATTCGTTGCTGAGATTATTCGGACTATAGTACTTTTTTCCATCTCTTAGTAAAATTTGTTTCCCCTTTAAGATAAAATTTTCTTTCTCCAAATAAAGTAGCATAAACGGGTTGTGCTAATCTCTACTCATCACATAAAAGGGAAATTATAGAGCACTGGTAGTTTTTATGTGTTGTTTCCCTTTGGAAGGGTCATTTGTTTTTTGAGGTGTCTAGTAAGATCTGAGTACTTATGGATAGCACTTGTGGCTGGAGTTCATAGCAAGTAAACTGGAGCTGTCTTTGGGTCATATTAGTATTTTCAGAAGCTCTTCTGACATGTAGTGGCTGGTGTAATGTGAATATATATGTTCTGTTTGATCTATGCATTTCATCAGTTTGGATGGGTAGAGCAGAGGGAGCATCCTCATCAAACCTGACATACAAGTGTTATGGAAAAAAGTCTTCATCCTTCCAGTTCCATTTAGATCTTTCTATCATTCAACTGCTTTCTTCAAGGCTCTCTCTGCTTTTCTTTTGCTTTTATTCATGTTACTGGCTACATGTCTATTTATTGCTTCAGTCTTTTACTTTCTTGTTTCTTCACCTTTAATTTGTTTTGGACTCTTGTAAAAATTCATTCCTTTTCTCTCTGTTTTTCTCTTGTTTTTCTACATACCATTTTTATAGACCCTTGAAGTAGCAATCATGTTGAATTATCTTTAACAAATTTGTTGAATATCAATAGAAGAACTAGTTGTAAAAAATCTTTGAATGTCAAGGATTTTGGATTTTATGGTGTTGTCAATAGTGTTGGTCTTGGAAGTTTAGAAAGGTAACTGCTAAAACAGTGAGAAAAGAAGACTGGAGAGGGATTAAAATTGGAAACATCTGTTTGGAGGCAATTGTAGGTTTGAATGAGAGATGAGATCTTGAATTAAGAACTGGGGAAGTAGAGGAAGCAATAGAACTAATAGGAATCATGGTTATATGTGTAAGAGGAAAGAAGAAAAGTAAGTTGATTAGGCAAATAAATCAATAATAAATAGTTTTGAATGACTCCAATTAGGCGAGGCGCTGCGGATATTTTGTGATATAAGATCTATCATAACATTCACAACTGGAAATGTAATTTGATAGTTAAATAATAGTAGTATAAGATGGTAGTGTAAGAGAAAAAATTACTCTGGACAAGAGCAATCTCTGGCAGCTTTATGGAAAAGGTTAGAGTTGAGTTTAATTTAGAGGTTACACTTAATGTCAGCTGCTTTCTGCACAGGTCCTGTGAAGGTAGATTTAGACTTGAAGATGAGGGTCTGATGACCAGAGGAGAAGCAAAGGGAAGAAGGAGCTCCAGAAAAGGATACTATCAGCTCCTTAGCCCTATTATAGTATATCCACCACTCTTCTAATTAAACCATTCTAGGAAAGTATTCTGAACCTTTCAGAGCTCTTGCCTGCTGAATTTCTAAACACAATGGATATCTTTGGATTCTATAGCAAGCTGACCTGATGATTTGGTTTTATAATCTTTTTTGTAGTGTTCCTGGAGAACAATGGAAAGGACAATTCACTACAATCCAGAGAAGGTAAAGGCCAATCTTTTATTTTTAACTTATTTGATTCAGGTTTAATAAGTTTTCTTGCTACTGTTTAAGAAAATTTTATGAATATCTTAGAGATAGGATAATTAAGAGTTAGACACCCCCCCCCCAAAAAAAAAAAAGCCGTGTTTTACATATGGAGAATGTGCAGTGCTCAAAATGTTTTTCCTTTAAGCACTGTGAGCCTGCTGTAAAGCCTCAGGGATGTTTTCCCCTGGTTGTGTTTTAGGAATGCCTTTAAAAACTTAATCTGGTTGCTCAGCAGTCTACTCTTTTGGGTTTTCTGGCATACTAATATGTGAGATCAGATTTACAAAAATATTAGATGCATGCGATGATCACAGAGGTTATAATATATATATTTTTTACACCTTTCAATTTCTTCATGTCATAGGATTATTCATTTTAGAAAAAGTTCTTTTCCAGGACATCATTTAACACAAATAATTGTAATTACAGTGGTCAGTGTTTGGGCTGTGGAAAAACCATAGAGTCCATTCACCTAAGTCCAGAAGAGTATGAATATCTCAAGGGAAAAATCATGAGGGATGTGATAGATGGAGGTGACCAATACAAAAAGACAACACCTCAGGTGAGTCTGGACCAGATTTTATTGCATTCTTGAATTGCTTGTCTAGAGCTGGGCTTAGCAGTTTTTTTCTTTAAAAGGCGAGATAGTAAATATTTTAAGTCTCTGTTGCAGCCTTTCTACTCTGCTGTTTTAGTGAAAATAGCCACAGACAATACATAAATGAGTGAGCATGGCTGTGTTCCAGTAAAATTGTGTTCATGAAAATAGGCAGTGGGCTAGATTTGGCCTGCTAGCTACAGTTGCCAACCTTTAGTGGAGATTGCTTTAGAATTTCATAGAATAATTGAGTTAACCTATCATCCGTCTATTGAAGTCAGTCCTATTTCATCTGGGCACAAGTGCATTTAAGCCAAAAAGATAAATCCTTATTCTTTATCTAAGTGCTTCCAGAAAATGATGTTTAGTAAACTCCCATGAAAAGATTATGGTTTCTCATAACTTTTCTAGTCAAGAGAGTTTAAGGTAACTTAACAAAATTCTTTCTTTAAAGAATCTTAATGATTCTTTAAGTCATTTTTAAATAGCTTTATTTTGCTAATCTTTAATACTTTATACTGGTTTACTAAGATTTAAGTTGAAGAGTTAAGGAGTTGTTACACCTTGGGTAAAGGTCATCGTTGGGAAAGGGCTGCCCATCACCTCACTGAATGCTTTTTCTTCAAGTTACCAAATCAAAATGAGGAGTGAAAATTGTTCTTTTCCTACCTTGACATAAAATTGTCAGAACATGCCCCTAGATCATATGAAGACCTTTAATTCTCAGAATAAAGTCAAAATATGATCCATAAAAACATTATCTTCATTTTATGAGATATCTTTTAACTGACTTTATTGATAAAATTATAGGTAACATTTATTAAGTGGTGCTAAGTTCTTTACATTCATCATCTTGTATCTTATTTAATCCTTACAGTCATCCTATGTGATACTATTTTTTTTACGGATACAGTGATTGAGACTTTGGGAGATTAAATCTGCCCAAGGACACCTCGCTAACAAAATTTAGGTCTGACCACAAAACCTTTGTCATTACACTTTAATGCCTCTCATGGAATGAAAAGTTACAGTGACAGTCTGTAATTCCATATATACCTAATAACCAACTGGTTGTAGCAGCTCTTTAATGCCTTAGGAATTTCTGCCAGCTAAAATATGAATTAAATAAATTTCCTTTCTCTTACCGAACATCTGAAGTAGATGTTAAGATAGATGCTGTTTGCTACCAAAAACTTAACTGTTTCTGTTGTGGACTAATTAAATATTCTTCCCACCCTCCAAATTTTTTATTTATTAAAACTTTAAACCTAAACACAAAATAAAAGAAATAGCACAATGGACACCTATATACTATTCATCTAGAGTAACCAGTTGTTATTATGGCACATGTGCCTTCTCTCTATATATGTGTTTTTATGAACCATTGAAAAGTAAGCTGTAGACGTGTTACCTTAAATGTTTCAGTAAGTATCTTATAAGAATACGAAAATTGTATGTAATTAAATATGATTTTCACATTTAAGAACCTTACCATTAATTCAGTGTCGTTTAATAAAAAGTACATACTCAAATTTTCCCAGTTGTCCCCCCAAACTAGAAAAATAACTTTTTCCCTTTTAATCCAGGATTTGACCAAAGTTCACTCATTGATTTTGGTTGTTATTTCTCTCTAAACTCGTAACAGTATCCTCTGCCTGTTTTTTGTTTTTATGACATTGACTTTTTGAAAGATCTGAGTGGTTCGTCTTGTACAGAACTTCTCAGACTTTGCACCTATGAATCACTTCAGGATCTGGTTAAAATGCAAATTGCGATTCAGTTGTCTAAGTGGATGCTGAGATTCTATATTTCGAACAAGCTCCCAGGTGATGTGATTCTGGTCTTTGGAACACATTTGGTGTAGAAGACTGTGGACTCATTGTCTGATTGCTTTCCTTTCATTAGTTCAATATAAAAGCATTTGGACATACTACATGAGTGATGCTGTGCGCTTCTTATTGAATCGCAGCAACCGCATAATATCAGGTTATGCTCACTATTGCTGATGCTAAATTTGGTCACTAAATTAAGAGGGCAACTGCCAAATATCTCCATTGTAAAGGTACATTTTTCCCTTTATAATTTCCTTTTGTAGTTTTTCCCTTTGTATTTTTTGTAATTAAAAATTAACCTGTGGAGTAATACTTCAAGACTATGCAGATATCCTGTCACCCATTATTCTTCACTCTCATGTTTTTAGCATCACAGAGACGATCTCTACTTTTGGAGGTTGCACAGTGATTTTCTAGTTTCATTTCCTCTACATGGATTTGCTGGCATTACTCTATAAGTTTTCCTTTTTCCCCTTTCTCCCTCTTTTTATTTTTTTATATTTTTTATTTTTTTATTTTTCTGTCTTGCTTTTTAAAAATACTATCTGTATGAACATAAGGACTTTTTAAAAAAATTAACTGTGTTAGAATCCATAACCATTATTTTTTTTGGTGCTCAAATTGTCTCAAATTTAGCCTATGGGAGCCCCTTCAAGCCAGTTCCTGTGTCTTTTCATCTCTTCCCGTAGCCCCATCAGTTTTTTCTCCCAATCAGTTTTAGAGCATTTCTATGGCTTCTGGTATAAGGTGTCCTAGGCTCTCACCTTGAAGTGCTCCTGCCCCAGTTGTGGAATCATTAACTGAATACTTTTATTTAACACTCTCAATGGCTAAACATTGTTGTAATTCTTTTTTTAAATGAATAGCACTTTAATTCTGGATTAGTAGAAGGAAGATTTGTTACTTTTCTCTGCTGACAAGGACTTACAACCCAGAGCAAATCTTCCCTTTGAAGAGTGTTATTCTGCAATAGGAGTTCCAGGCTCCTTCCTGACTGGTGAGACTAGCATTGTAGTCATACATTTAATTACCATAATTTGCAGAGCAACTGAATATATTCACAGCAGAATTGGGACATATTATGGCTGGGGAAATTCTTTTCTCCTTTTCTCCTTTCAGGCATCCTTCCCCTTTCCTCCTGCAATTCCCTAATTCTGTATCCCATTTCTTGTCATCTGCCTTTTACTTTTAAGGTGTTAACATAATAATAACAATTACTACTATTTACTTGAATGATTACCATGTGTCAGGCACTTCTAGGCCTGATAAACTCAAAACAGCCTAGCAAGAATATCACCATTTTGAAGATGGGGAAGGTCAAGATAAGAAACATATCCATGGTTAAAGAACAGTGAAGTAAGGCACATGGCTGGATTGGGTCAGGGTTTAATTTTTGTAGTATTGGTGAGGCAGAAGGGGCAGGGATGGATCTAGAGCACTTCTGGTGGGTTGAAGTAAAATCAGCTCTTTTTCTGGGACTAGAGGGAAGGAATTAGGATAGTGGACATATTAAGTTAGTAGGTGCAGCAAAAAGTTTATTCAGTCCTCTGATTTCTCTGAAGAGCCTGAAGCAAATTGGTCATTTGAAGGTGAGAGAAGGGATGATAGTCTAAGGGAGCTTGAGGAGAGTTTTAAGCCTTGGAAGTCTGGATTATGTGTGAGAGGATTGGAGAAAGTATTACTGGGTAGTGCTGAAGCCCCAACTGAGGCTGAAGACCATAAATTTTTAGGGGCATTGATCTGTGAGCCATTTTTAGTAGTCCTGAGCCATCCAGGTACACAAACAGAGAATGCAGATGGATGAGATAGTATGGGATTTTGCTAGGCTGGTATAGTTCAGGGAGAAAGGAAAATAGTAGTTGAGAGTATAGGTGAGAAGGTGGCTCAATTAATGGACCATGAGATCAAAGTTGATAGGAAGGAAGTAAAGAAAGGTGTGAGCTCACTGATTAGGAGACTTTAGAGGGAAGAGTGGAATGAAGGCTCATGGAGGTTGAAGAACAAGCATAAAAGAGGTGAGTAGAAATCAGGAAATTTTTTGTTGGGAAGGGGTTGTTGCTCACATGTGGCAATATGATAGAGACCAAATGAAGGTAACTTTGACAGAGTATTTAACGTGATCACCATGGGGCCCAGACTAGATATGGAAGGATGGAAGGCCAGAGAGCACTGCCCAAGAGGGTTCAAGGGACTGGTAGTCTCAATGTAGGATAGAAGAAAAGGTACAGTGAGAATAAGAGTGAAAACTGGAAAGCTGAAAGAGAGCAGGCGAAACATTTGAGGCTAATATTTCAGAGGAAGAGCCATTCTAGGCCCTGGCCAGATCCAGGATTGGGCTACCAGGGTGTGGTACACACCCAGGATAAAGTTTAGCTCCAGACCGTTATTTCCCACAGATTGTTCTTGTGGTTTGTTTGTTTGTTTTGGGTTTTTCTTTTTCTTTCTTTCTTTCTTTCTTTTTTTTTTTTTTGCTCACCATTTGTATTAATTTGCTAGGGCTACTATAACAAAATACCACAGACTTGGTGATTTAAAGAACAGAAATTTATATTCACAGTTATAGAGGCTAAAAGTCCGAGATTGGTAAGTTTGGTTTCTCCTGAGGCTTCTCTCCTTGGATTGAAAATAGCCCTTCCTCTTGCTTTGTACTCATGTAGCCTTCCTTTGTGCTTGAGCATCCCAGTTGTCTCTTTGCGTGTCCAAATTTCCATTTCATATAACGGCACCAATCAGGTTGGATTAAGGACCTATTTTTATGACCTCATTTTACCTAAACCACCTTTTTAAAGTAGCTATCCTGTTGAGTGAGGTGGAATTTCATTATAGTTTTGATTTGCACTTATCTGATAATTAGCGATGTTGAGCATCTTTTCATGTGCTTATTGGCCATTCGTATAGGTTCTTTGGAGAAATGTTTATTCAAGCCCTTTGCCCATTTTTGAATTGGGTTTTTGTTTTTTGTTGTTGTTGCATTTAGGGGTCCTTTATGTATTCTGGGTATTAATCCTTTATCAGACATATGATTTGCAAATATTTTCTCCCATTCTGTGGGTTGCCTTTTTTACTCTGCTGATAGTGTCTTGAAGCACAAAATTTTTAAATTATGAAGTCCAATTCTTAAATTTTGTCTTT